CCCCCCCCCCCCCCCCCGCCACACATTGACACGTTGAATTATGTGTTGGACGTCACTTGCAAGGGCTGTTGTTAGGAGCTTCAATCCTGGTCAAAACCAGCGACAAAAAATCCACAGAGGAATGTTTTAATACAGTACTATCAGACCGAAATAATAGACCTTACCGATTATTCTCTTTTACCCAATGGCCTCGTTTCCATGTTGACTTATTTTAGCATATCAGGGGCAGATAAAGATTATATTCCCATGTTTTCCTGGACGAATTTGTTTCTTGCTGTTCTTAAGCTCAACAACAAAGTAATTTTCAACCCTACTAAGCACAAAACATGAGTAAGTATTTGACATGAAAACGAGGCCATCGGGTAAGAGAATAATCGGTAAGGTCTATTTACTCGTTGGCGTCTTCGATCCCCAAAACGATGTTGGATGTGTTACAATTACTTTAACAATATTCTGCATGGGAATGCAACCAACATTGAATGGTGGGGGTAAGGGGAGCTTAGAAAATTGGCCAAATAATTGAAGATGTCGCAGATGTTTTGTCCAGGATGTATAGGTTTGGAATTTTGCATTTTTGTCAACATAGTTCCTTTAAATTCTCAAATGTTCGGCTATGAAGCCAAAATCAGAGGTGCTAACATGAATAGTCTTGCAGGGACAGCTTGGAACACATGCATGTTTAGGATGTTTACTGTATTCTGTGTCTTCTTTGCAATTTTCAAGTCTCTTCGTTTTAGGTTGTTGGTGAAAGGACTGCAATATATGGGCGGTCCATGTCTAGTTTTTATTAACTTTGGAAAGTGTAAGGATGGTTTGGAACGCATTGATCGTGTGTTGTATAATTTTGTGTTGTAGTTTTGTTAAAGTTTGTAACCCTGTCTCTATTGTTTTACAATGTCAGTGTAATGTGTGGGTAGGACTTAATTTGGGACTCCTCATTCCTGTTGTCTGTACCTTCAATCGTTTTGTTGATTGTAAAGTTTATAAATAAATAAATATATATATATATATATATATATATATATATATATATATATATATACTCTAAGAAAATGTCAGTTGGCATGAGCTTGTAAGAAAATGCCATCAGAGTGTAACTTTCAGAAAGTTGGCCGGTCGTCTAGTAGACGGAGAAAACTATAATTTCAGATACACGTGAGTAATCATCATAAATCAGGCTTTACAGTAATCGTTTATTGAATTGTGTTTGTCCTCGCAGAATTTTATTAAAACTTTTAAGGCTATTATTTACACTAGATCCAGCTATTGTACAGTTATCCACGGCTTCACTTGGGCTATATTAAAGGATGCCAAAAACATCATCAGGACAAAGACCATTGTCTTTTATTAGTCTATGCATGGAGGGCCGAAACCCACGACCTGAAGATATTTTGGAGTGATTAATATACCAGTTTAATAGACAGTTGTTCTTTTGGTAGCGCTCAATTTCTTGGGCGGCGCAGGGGGTAGGGGACTGGTATTGTTCAGTTTCTTCTCGTGAACCGAGAGATTTGTCACGGGCATGGGGTCTAGTCTAGATGACGTCAACATCATTGCGCTTGCTTGACCTCCAACTTGTTCCTTGCCTTGCTTTTTCTAAAAATGAAATAAAACGTATTAAACATAAAACGTGGCAACCAATGGTTCAACAATACTTACTTCCTCAATGGTTCCATTTTGTGCAAATTCGAGCACGACCCGAATTAATCGTGTTTCGTGAGAACGACGCATGTAATCGAGGCTTACCTTGTATTGTAATGGGTTTATCACGCCGATGTTAGGAGAAGACTTGAATACTTTATTGAAGTTAGTTTCTCTGTTCATCAATTCCAATTGATAGTACCTCTTTTCATCCTACATAATATCAGAAACACTCAAAACTGAATATTGACGATAGCTGTTGCGGTCACCCAGTCATGTGACCCTTATGTATAACTTTAGTCTTTGAAATATGTATATTACTGTATGTATATTAACAATTATGGCGAAACGTATAAATAAATAAATACATAAATATCTACTTCAGAAAGCAGCACACATTCTTTTGCAACATTTTGTTAAAACGCTACATGAACTGATGAACAATACACCTGAGTGAAATGACCATTAAACGGGGTTAATTTCCGTATTACACTATAACAAATTCAATTTAAATAAAATCCTAATCCCAAGATCCCAAACTTAATCCTGCTACCCTAACACTAATCCTAACACTAATCCTTATGAGCTCGAGATAAGTAATATACTAAATATAGAAGTCAGTCACCATATACGTACCAACATTTTCTTGAGTTCCAGATCTCTTTCAGATAAAGCTGTTTTTAAACTCTGTATGACTTCCATATCCTCGTCTCTTGGTGGTCGATTTCTGAACCGAGCTTCTGCTTCTTCAAGCCTGAATAGGATAAGGGATCATGTCAATGCCTTCACGCAGGCTCCCCCCCCCCCCCCCCTCAATCTTTAGGAGGACGTACAGTAGTATGGACTTTCGTCAACTTGACAACTTGAAACGAATCGCTACTAATAATGAACTCCAGGGGGTCAATAAGTGCAAGAGGTCTACAATCTAAGCTACCATAGTTTATGTCTGAACTGTAACTGCGAAGATTATAAAAACACTTCAATAGCTCTTCAATTTCCACCATCTCTGGCTTCACTTTTTGGACTCGAGTTCTCGCTCCAGATTTTAATTTTCAGGCAAAATTCACACACCACCCACAACAGAACATTGTACAATTGTATACTCTGTAAAAACAAGTTGGTTAAAACAACCCATAAATTCGGCGTTATTCAAAAACTGGCTATACTAAATCCGATCTTGAGATTTTTAAATATACCAAGATCTAAACCACATACATGAGTTGTAAAGCAGAAACTTTATCTTTCAACAGCTCCTGAGCTCGGCTGAATTCGTGAACCATATTTTGTGTTTCTCTCAAATGTTCAGCGACTTGAGAATCCATTTCTTTTTGATGTGCTTTCGCTAATCTTTCTTCACTTTTCCTATAACAAAGGACAAAGCCATTTGGAAAACGTTGAAATGTGCATGTTTCCACCGACCGATATAGGCTTTTGCATAAATGCTAATATAAGTCCAAATCTTGGGAGACTGGATGACATGGAGTACATTAAGATTTTTAACCGATGATTAATTTATGTTGAAGCTTATGCTGTACACTTCACTGCACCTCTATTGCATACCGCGCACACTTGTTTGATAGCCAACTTTTATGAATTATAGTCAAGACAACTGTCATCTACTTAATTTGTAAATTCACATCAACTCTCATGCACAAGAATAAATAGTCTGGCGTTAGAGTAAAACAATGACTCTTAGTTATGACCTAGCGTGACGATAGTGCCAGTCAGTCGATCACGATCCAGTGATGGGAATGTTTCATTGTCTTTTCTGTTTTGAAAATCCCACTGTTTTGCATGCCATCCAGATACTCATTACTCAGTTTTAGGTTGATTCAAAGAGCCGATTAAGTCAGCATCATTCATATATGCCCTGTACAGAACACGAGACGGACATATTTATATCTTACCTTATATGACTGTTAGCTTCCCTTCTCACATTCAATATTTCCTGTCCTTTTGCTTCAATCTCGCGATGCAGTTGTGTAGCTTGGCTTTTGCTTTCAGAAAGTTCTTGACTTAGTTCATTAATTTGGAGTTGATTTTGACGAATCGTATTACTCAATTCCTCAACTTGAGCTGCATGTCTGTCAGTCTGAAAAATACGTGAATTTGAAAAATTTAGGCCAGGTTGAAATTAGTCGTGGTTCGACGTCGAACTTTTCATGTGATGAACCGAACGTAAACTTACCTAAACTCTATATTGTTTGAGCTCGTTGCATTGGGCTTGAAAAGTTCAATGCCCAAAACATGCTTTAAGTTACAGTTATAGTAGAATGATATTTTAGCAAATGTATCTTACATTTAATGTATTTTGTATATGCACTTACAGGCAATTTATTTTAAAAGAAAATTATGATTCTGGGACAGTCCACACGTGTGAACTATAGAAGGCAAAAATATTGGGAATTTACAGTAAGTTAGACTGTTTTGAATTCATCCTGTCCCGGGTGAAGGGAGCCCAAGTCTCGATAATCTTCTGACAATCGCCTGCAAAAATTACTGGTAACTCATCGAATATACACCCCGATATAACACGTATTTCAAACATTGCAGACGCACCTCTTTCGTTCGTAACTCATCACTTTTCTGAACTTGCAACTTCAGTACACTCAACTGAGTCTCAAAATCATTTTTCACTTTCCCAATTTCTTCTTTGCGACGTCGTAATAGTTCGTTCTCAACAATTTGTTTTTCTTTCTCAAATTTCACTCTATCCTCCGCCATTTTTTCTTTCGCCTCAATTTCAGCTTGTGATTTCACAACTTGGATACTCAGTTGCGAAGCTTTCAGTTGTGATAAGGTCTCCTCATTGTAGGCTTTCCTTAATCTTGTTTCCAGCTCCTGCAAAAAGTATAAGTTTAATGACTTTCTCACTCATTAGCGAGCGGATTTCCCAACAGGCTATAGCCCAAATAAAAGGGGATCCGAGAAGACGCGAGGTGGGTTTCAAGGTGGACATAAAGTCATAAACCAGGACATGGTATATGCGGCAAAAATGTTGTCCTTGTTCGTCACATGTATATTGTATTTTCGTTCTACTGATCAATAGCAATGTTTTGACTTCGTTATTATACATCCATGACTAATAAACAATGGACGACTTGCGCTTTAGACTAAATTTTAATCTAAGTAAGAACAACGAAATCTATCACCACAGCTAGAAAGAGCGTCTTGGAATTAGTAATATTACAAAGTTTAGTTGCGAAATGTTGTAAAATACGGAAAATATAGCCCTTCAAAGTTGGCAAATTTGTATACTTTTGTATTACGTGCGTGAATTGGTAACTAAATTAGTTACCAATTTCCGCACGTAATAGAAATGTATACAAATTTGCCAACTTCGCAGGGCTATATTTTCCATATTTTACAACATTTCGCAACCAAACTTTGCAGTTTTTCTAATTTTGATAACTTCTTTCCGAAAATATCCTTTGTTATTCACAGATTAAAAATTTTTCTAAAGCGCAAGTCGTCCATTGGTTAGTTTAAATATTGCTTTACTGATTGGTTATTTTAAATCTAAAATCCCGGTTAAGGCCCTGAATTGCGATTGGTTCTCTCCTGTTCTTTGAGGATTTTTTTCGGAAACGTCAGTTTTCTTTTCTCATTAACATGCAAGGAAAGATTATTATAACCCCCCCCCTTCTGTACCTCTATGCTTGTATGTTTACCCTCTAGGAAACTGAATGGGATAATTTATGAATATGCTGACTAGCTAGGAGGCCCAGGTATCCCTACCTTCAACTCTTGTTCTTTCATTTCTTTCAAGAGAGCAATTTCGTCTTGATGTTTTGCTTCAATATTCTTCAACTTTTCGTTATATTCAAAACCTTCTCTGGATCGTTCTTCTTCGATTTTCCTCCGTTCGTGATTCGCACTTTCTCTGAATGTTCTCTCAGATAAGACAAATCTTGACGATGCCATTTTAAGTTCTTCTTCAAGTTGACGTATCTAATGTTAGAGCGGAAAGTGTATAAAATATACATATCCATGTTCTAAGCCTGCGGCACACGAGAGAAGCTAGGTGAGCTCACCGCCTCGTGACGGTTTAACCTCTCGAGGCCTTGAGGAAAATATCTATCGTGTTTGATATTTTTCACGTCGCGAGGAAAACAATCTCAACGTCTGCGGATGTTGCGAGTTTAGTGCTGAGCTGCATAGAAAGCAGTCTTACGAGTCGACATAACTGGAAGTAATATTTCAAATCCGACTATCCATGAGGACTGCAATTTGATCAAATTGCGAGGACTTGAAATCTAGTTCAGTCCGAATTGCATAGTCGGATTTGAAATAGGGGTGCACCGGATTTCAAATCCGGCCGGAATTCCGGCCGGATTTAATGAATTTTCCGGTATCCGGCATCCGGCCGGATTTGGAGAAAATCCGGCCGGATTAAATGTCTGTTTTCACCTTAAAATATTCACCAAGAATGGGATAAACCATCAATTTAGCAGCGTTAAAGTTTAAAAAACACTTAATATTATTATAAAATATCAAGTTATTAACAAGAAGATATTTAAAAAAGGTTTAAACACAATAAAAAATCTAAACTGACACTAACTAAAAATAGTAAAAAACATAAACCGCCATTTTGAATACTGAATTATCCCAATTTATCGCCATTACCGGTTTATCTCAAATCCGGCAAATCCGGCCCGAATTCCGGCCGGAATTTTTGGCCAAATCCGGTTCCGGCCGGATTTGAAAATTCCAAATCCGGTGCACCCCTAATTTGAAATGACATCTCATACGAATAAATCACTACTTAAAGCGAGGTGAATTAATTTTGATCCAGTCCCAGGACAGGATCAATATGTGTTTCACCAGTTATCCAGTATTATCATGTGAGCAAAATAAAGCAATGTGGTTGGCTAATTTACTCATGAATTACTAATGAGTTTGAGATAGTCTTACCTTTGACTGGAGGATAGCGATATCTTTCTCAGAACTGATCCGTATCTCTTCTTTCTCTTCTTCCTTCAATGCTGAAAGTTGTTCCATTGCTGCGTGTTGACCATCTTCATGCTGTTTGTTCAGTAGAGCACGTAGCGAAGAGTTTTCCGATCTGCAAAGAGAAAATGATTCCAGATTTTCGATCACAAGAAATTGCGGAATAAGATGGAGGGTAAGATCAGTCAAGGAGTATTAGTATAGTTCCTGCCAATACAGTTTGATATCAAGATAGATTCTAACTTGGGGACCGGTCAATATTTATGGTGGAGGTGGCACCGAAGAGAAAAGGGTTGGAAAAAAAGACTAAAAAGCAATGTCAAACAGTCATATATCAATACAATATGTAAATCAATCAGAGTCACTATCTTGATCATTGTCTGATTTGTCATGAGGCAAATGGTGTTCATCAGTCTATACTATTTATACTAAATACTATCTAGTTTGTATTACTAATTACTGTAAACATTGTAACTTTACTTTAATCTTTCACTCCACTCCGTAGATAATTCTTTTCGCAACTCTTCCAAACGTTCGTCTAGTTTAAGTTTGCCGTCTTTTCTTTCTTTCTCCAAGGAGTTGTTCGTCGTGGCAACTTCGTTCTGGTGTAAAGAAACGTACATTGTAAACATAATGCGAAACCGGTGATTTGTTACTCGTAGTTAGTGGATTTTCGCACGAGGGAATGGTTTGTTTTAGGACCACTGTTGACAGATGGACCTTTCCAGTAATTACGTCACGACTAACACTGTTTTCAACTTAGGACCACCTTAAATGGAATGGATTTCAAGGTTGTTTCTCACGGCTATGGTCACAGGAGCAGAACATCCTTCTTCAACACATGCATAAAAAAGAATTTTGGATTTTGACCAATAAATGTGGAAATTAGCTTAAACACGAAAACGTTTTCGTGTTTAAGCTTATTTCCACATCATGAATAGTCAAAATCCAAAATTCGTTTTTATGTATGTGTTGACGAAGGATGTTCTGTTTCTCTGACCATAGCCCGTGAGAAACAAACTTAAAAGCCATTCCATTTAAAGTGGTCCTAAGTTGAAAACAGTGTAGTTGTGACGCAATTACCGGAAAAGTCTATTGCGCTATTCCATCCAGTTCGCCTTGTGTTAAACACTATAAGACCGACCGATGAGTCAGTGCAAAATACTAAAATAGAACAATGGAATTAAGCTCATACTTTTAAATTCTCCGCTATAGTTCTTGACGATGCCAATTCCTTTTCCAAAGAACTGATTTCCGCTTGTTTCTCCCTCACCATTTCATTTAACCGTGATATTCTTGATGACGCTGAACCAAGTCCCACTTCGGTTTCTTGTATCTGACCAGACAGCATTTCGACCTTACTAGAACTTTCTTCATACAATTTCTGAAGTTTAGCAAGTTCGTTTTCCTTTGCCTTAATAATCTCATTCTTTTCCAAAGTGATTTTCTGTTGTTCTTGTAATGATTTTATATTCAGTTCTTCTTTTTGTTGACTTAAAGACGATTCTGAGTTTTGTTTTAGTTTTTCAACTAATTGTTCATGTTTGTTCTTTAAGTTACTCAGTTCTTTTTCGTGCGAGGATTGTAAATTTTTCTCTTTTTTGGCGGACTCGTCTTTCGTAAAAACTAGCTCTTGGAGATACTTGAATTTAATATCTTGTTTCTCTTTTTCAAGCGCCTCTATGTTCTAAACAAAACACACAACATTTGATTAGACATATATGTCAAGTACTGTACATTGTCCATCTAATTTTCGTTGATTAAAGTACGGTACACAGATTCATTAAAGTGCATGACACCAGGCAGTAAAAACATTAAGTATTATAACACTAAAGCATAAATCAAATTGGTTACTCGAAACATTCTGGTACTGAAAAATTCTTTATGGGCCATTTCCCATTCTTGCGCACTCAATGACAAACTTAGAGGGAAAGTGACAACCAACCTCAATAAATCATAAATTCTAATAAATGATTTTAATGATAACCAAAGTCTAGGTTTTGAATGGTCGGTTCTAATGTAGGTAGCACCACACTGTATAGTTATACACTGTATAAGCATAACTTCAACATTTCAAGCAAAGGAAGGCTCTAATACACCATTTCGATAACTTTTTGATCCTGGAGCATCGCTCTCATTAGTAAATTACCCAAGGCAATTGGCTCATAGTTCATGAGAGCGAGGCTCCCAGGCCAAATGACATAATTATCGAAAGGGTGTATTGCTTGAAACGCCGTTCATTTCTGCTGCCTTATATTTTTCACACTGCTCACACCACAGAAGTCTAAACTTGCAACGTAGATCTAAAGGGCAAAGTACAGTATGCTGGCAATCAAACTCACACCCCCACGTAATATTTCGTTAAGTGTTTGCCATAAGATTATTATGTTTGGCCAGTACATGTGATTCATGTGAGTGCAAATACCTAGTTTGTATATAGTACGTAACACTAAAACTAGGTAATTGCTTTGGTACACATGCATGTACTGGAATGAACCAGCCTGCTCAGGAATCAGCCGATGATCAATGGTAAGCAAAACAATTAAGTATACCCACTTGAAATAACGCTGAGAGAAATGCTGTCCATGGACATTATACACAGTAAGAGAAGGGCAATTACCTGTTGCAGAATGCGCAGTTGGTGTTGAGAATCTGTTGTTAAACTTTGTTTGTTGTCTTCTAACAACTTCAAGTCTGCTTCAAGTTTAGAACATTTGCCTTTTGACAAGTCTAGCTGTTTTTTGAGTTCATTTATTGATTGTTCTTGATTTAAACATGTTGCTTCTAGTTTGTGATGCAAACCTGAACAAATGATTAAATAGCTTGATTGTAAACAATTGATTCAAAATTGATAAAGATATTATAATAAGTAACATTTATTTATTGTCTTGTTAGAAAAATCAACTCTAAATCATGTAACACAGGGCTCTTAGACTCCACTTCTAGCCTGGCTAATGAAAATCTCCATACCTGCTAGCCTGCTCACAGACGTTGTTATTCGTACGCCAAGTGACGAATTACTACCATTCGTCGCTTGGCGTAAGAATAACAACGTCTGTGAGCAGGCTACATACCTGCAGGCTTTTCTAAAAATTGGGCTTCGAAATCTCAAATTTCAATTGTAACCTGAAAACAGGTGTACTCTCCCTTACGAGATTAATTTAGGGAATTCCTTATGGCCTGCAGAGGTTGAAAATCTCCCAAAACCCAGGTGGGCCATTGTTCCCCTGAAGTTTCTAGAGTTTGAATATTAAGCCAATACCAGGCCTCAGAATACAGTTACACATTTACAGTACCTGTTGAAAAGTTAATAGGAACATCGCATCAATAATTGACAACTTAATTAAAGTGGCAATTATCAATTCTGTGAATACATTACCGTAACTCTAATTAGATTACACTACCATGTAATTTTAATTCAATTAAATAAACTGGTGAAGTATATTGATGAAATAACAGAATTATAGTAAGTATAGTATACAATTATGTTATACTTACGAGTTTTATTTGACAGTTCATCGACCAAACCCTCTGAACGTTGTAATGTGACTTGCATTTCATTTTTTGTTTGCCGTAATTCTTTTGTCAGTGCATCCACATTTTTTAAAGCTTCACCCAATTTTCCTTTCATTTCCACACTTCCTTCACTCTTCAATGTCACCTCCTTAGTAACATTAGATAATTTCCTTTCCAACTCCGAAACTTGACCCTTTGTGGTGTCAAGGTCTTTTCGCAAAACTAAAATCCTATCTTTGTATTGTTTTTCTTGATTTTTCCACGAGTTTCTTAAATCAAGTTCTTTCTGTTGAAGAGTTTTCATGGAAACCTCGGCTTTTTCCGTAGCTTCCTTTGCATGGCTCAGTTCCTTCTCATACAGAGTTTTTAGTTTTTCCAACTTTGCGATATAGTCACGTTCTATTTTTTCGCGCTCAGCACGAAAGGCTTCTGGAGAATTACTAAGGTCTTTGATTTTTGCTTCAAGATCTGTTTTTATTTTTTCTTTGTCTTTCACTACCTCATCGTATCTTACTCTATGGGCTTTCATGAGTTGATCAAGCTCTTCATGATGTTTGCGAACTAATTCCTCCATCGCTGTGTCTTTATCCTTTTCTAAAAGCTCCCGCGTCTGTTTAAAATCCTCTAGTTGTTTCTCGAAATTATTTTTCGTTTCTAAAAGTTGTTTTACGCTCGCGCTAGCCTTCAGCTCGTTCTCCGCTTCTAGTTTCTCTCCCCTTTCTTTGACAGAGATTTTGTACTGCTCAAATTTATCCACTATTTGCGTCCTTTTTTCACTTTCCTCGCGCAATCGCTGCTCTAAATTCCGCATATCTGCCTTCTGTTGTTCATATTTTTCGATTCTCTGCTGCAGTTCGTTCACTTTACTTTTCGTTTCCCTTAGTAATTGCTGCATTTCGCTTTCGTGTCGTTCTTTAAGGCAGTCGACGATACTGTCCTGTTCGTCATTTTTCGTGTTTAAAGCATAAACAACTTTGGTAAGCTGCGCGATCTTCTTGGACATTTTAAGATGAATATCTGGGGTAACATCTAAACCGTTTCCCGCCGTGAAATTCCCCATGTACGTGCCGTTTTTATGCGGCATTTTATTAAACGTTGTTGACTTTGTTGCCGCCATCTTTCTTGTGTAAAATAAACCGCGTTCGTTGTCATGGTAACGCCGAGTATATGTCAACAATAAGCAATATGGCCGCCGCGTACGTTCCTAGCGATTGTACGGTTTTAAACGTTATTGAATGGCTTCCAAGAGACGATACCTTGCCAGGATTTGTGGTTTTAACTTTCCTTGGCTTTTTTGTCATCGGTGCCATTTTGGCACTGCTTGTCGTACGCTGTGCGGCCCGTGAAGTTGAGGTAAAACGGAGGAGAGAGGCATCGGTTTCAGCTCCCCGAGGCCCTTCGAAGAACGTTTGGATTTTTGGCTATAAAGTTTATATAGCAATCGTCCTTGTCTTGTTATTTATCTTTCTTATTAATCTTTTCGTTGTGCAAATTATGTTTGCAACAAGGGAAAACGATGAAATGAGTCGTAGTGAGAAGCATATGTCGGAAAAATTTTCAGGTTCGGTTTGGCTGTGGGCTATTTTGGCAGCTCTTTTTTTGTTGCCAATTTTTGGCTATTTGGCGCTTAGATGCATAATGTTTCCCGGGATGTGTCAGGCTTTAAACCATAAATACGAGGTAACAAAAATTTAACTGTTAAATTAATACTAAAAACTATATTAAATTTCTAATATTAAAATTTTGTGAATTATTATAGAATAATTAATATAAAGTTAAAAATAACATTCTCTTATAAACCACGAACATAAAATGCAACATTAAAAACATTTAATATAGACATATGTTATAAAATATCAAGGTCACAAAGCATAACATGGCATTTAATATCATAACAACTGTAACATCGTAACAACAGATACAGCAAACACACGAAACATTCAACATATTATTTGTACAGTAGAAATTAGTGAAGTGAATTATTGCAACTGAAGAATTAGAATTACTAAATGATATAAAAACATGTCATTTTAGCAATACAACTTGCAAAAACAGTGACTGATGTAAGATTTATCAAAATTCAAAATATTACCTCAATTATTAATTCTTTATATGGAAAGATATAGATTCTTAATTAATTATACCGGTAGTCATCACAAATCTGGCAAAAATCCAGCACAATATAAATTCAAGTAAAACATTTGGTAAAAAAAAACGAAGAAACATTTTATTCTAAACGTCGCTGCACACCTGCAGTGTAGTTTTTGTGCTCTTGGAAAAGAATTACCTAAATTTTACAAAGATATTACAAGATTTTAAAGATTTACAACATTTTATCCTAGCTGTCCGCCGTACTAAGCCAACCAAAGAGTATTTTATAAAGAAACTACTAGAGAACGAGAGGCAGAAAAAGTGCTAATACTCGGTAATATAATTAACGGTTTGTGCCAAATAATGTGGGTAGTGACGATAAAAACTTTGTTTGTGTCAGTTCGTGGTAATCTTCAACACATATGACAAAACATAAGCCGGATTTTTATAGTTTTTTGCTTCCTTATACATGAGCGATATGATGCAAAATGTCTCCAATTAATAAAGTTATACTAATTTTCGCGTGACGTCTGCGGGTTGAGAGAAATATGACAAAACATAAGATTTTTATAGTTTTTTTGCTTCCTTACATGACCACTATGATGTAAAATATCGCCAATATTAGTTATACTAATTTTCTTGTGACGTCTTGAGACGTCTACAGATTGAGAGAGATACATGCATGTCATATGACAAAACATAAGATTTTTCAAGTTTTTTTGCTTCCTTACATGACCACTATGATGCAAAATGTCGCCAATATTAGTTATACTAATTTTCGTGTGACCTCTTGAGACGTCTACGGATTGAGAGAAATATGCCTAGACTTATTACTTAGCCTAGACTATTTATCTTTACAAAAATTGTGATTACTTATTAAGTAGCTTTCTTAACTGTGTTTATCCTAACCCGTGCACCCTGTCAACTTTCCCTGTGGGAGGAAACCGGAGCGCCCGGAGAAAACCCACGACTTTCGGCAGAGCGTTGACAGACTCTTTTCACATGAGTCCGTTGCGAGAGTCGAACCCGCGATCTCAGAGGTAACTAAGTCGCTTGCTCTGACCACTCTGCCACCGAAGCGCCACAACCCCGTACACTAACATTTTGGAAGTCAATTGTGTGAAAGTACAACAAAAACTTTGTTATTTAGGAACACAACCAGCGAAAACGAGCTGAGAAACAAAAGAAGAAAGCAAAAGCAAAGACGAAAGAACATATTGTTTTGGTTCATATAGAAAAGCAAGAAGATACAAAACGGTCCACAACGGTCAGTACTAGATTGGTCTAAATTTGCCCCAAGCCATGTCTCATGAGTTCTGACTGTTACATGGTATATAGAGTTTGGAGCCAGGCAGAACTCAATGCATGCATGGGGTCGTTCTGCATGATGGAAAATATCTAAACATTATACTACTTTCAATACTGCTCAGCGTCGTCATCTTGGAACTACGAATTCATTTACATTGGCCCGATTTTTACAAGAGACAACTCATCCGGCAAAGAAACGATAGTTCGTCTCATATTAATTTTAGGGTTTCCAATTTTTGACAGAAGTATAGGTGGTTATGTGGTGCTGAAGGTATCACTCAACGGGGTCTGAAGGGGTCTCCAGACATTTTGGAGACTATTGTGTAAAATTTATATGTCTGTAAGAAAAGCATGTAACCTTTCCCTTGACATTTCTGCCGTAAGGAGGAACTCTCTTGATTTGTAATTTCGAGAAATAACCGGTGATTGTCTAGGCTATACTCAGGGCAGGAAAAATAATTTTCTTCCTTGGAGCGCAACCTGAAGACAAAAATTTCCTGCGGACCAACGGAGTATTTTTGTGCTAAATCTGCATGTGCATAAACATGTAAAGTGGTTCTAGCTGACCATATAGTTTTAAATAAAGCGATAATGTCTGTCAACCATTATGTTGTTGCGCCCATAGTGGGACATGGATGTTAAGGTTTAATTCCTTCAAATTTTCAACAGCAAATCTTCATTCAAACGAATTTCCTGCAGCTGTGTATCGGCTTCTATGCATGGGGAACTCTGATTAACTTGCGTAGTTCGTCTTGACGGATGATCGGTCAAAGTGTATAATATATACGGCATTCAACTATAAGAACGCTTTGCAATAACGTATACTGGTATATACCTAATCGTTCCTCGTCTAAGTTAGTAGCATCGTTTGTCGCACGACGCTATAGCTGCCAGTAGAGATCAATCATATTCTACACTGCTATAGAGGTCGTCTGATCAATGTCGTCGTGGCTTCATAGATGTTTTTATACTTTAAAAAGCATTCAAACATTGTGTACATTGTTTCTCTAGTTTTTTACTCAGAACAAAATCTCGCCTCTGCCTGCCACAGAAGAAGATGGTTTCATTCAGGATGATGCTGGATCTAAGGCCACAAGTGATACAAGTTTGCGAAGCGATGCTCATATAGCCGAAGAGGAAACTGCATCAACTGAAACTGAGGAATATGGCTTCTCTATCATTGAGATCTTAACCAAAACATCCAGGTTGGCAACTCATTTTGACCAGGGTCGCCGAGAGGTTGCGCGGGGTCCCGGGCAAAACTTTCCGAGGGGCGCCTATGACGTCATAATTGTACACATTTTTAAGCGTTTAACACATTTTTAAGGGAATACATATATTCTAGCTACGTGCATTTTTTTCTGTTGTTAAAACATTATTTTTTGCCTGCCGTCCCATTTATAATTACTCTCTAATTTTCAAATAAATTGAAGACAACAACGTACCATCGGTATCAACCATTGTAACAACCGAAACATCAGTACCAGTCTACCAGACCTTATAACTTCTATCGCCTAGCAATCATTACCCTCTAAATATTTTATTTTACTGAAAATATTATTTCCACAGTGAGCAGATGGAAGTCGAACTGCAAGGGCAAGATCTTAAGTCTGTCATTGAAATGGAGGACAATCTTCTGAAGCAAAAAGGAGAGGTTCGTTTTTTTAAACAAACAATTTGCCTGACGTAGTGACTTCCCATATATTAATGCTATTCCGAAATATTTACACAATTTGGATTTGTTTTATAGGATTGGTCAGCTATACGCTGAGAATTAGGATTGCATTTAAATTGAGGTAGATAATATGGAAATTGACCCGTGTACCAACTATCTTTTCTTGCAGACATTCGTGCATATTTGGAGAATGATTTTAGATGTGTTATTCAACAATGGCCGCATTTCAGAAATATATCGAAGAGAGTCCATTGCAAAGTTGGAACAGGTATACTGCACACGATTACTGCAGGTCTGTTGGATGACCGGTCGTCTGTCAGACCGTGCACCTTCGGAAGTTCAAATTCCTCGATATTTCAGAAATGTTGAGTCCGAGTATGCTTCAAATTTCTTTTTTCAGGCAGTCGAGGATATTCACCGAAATAATGAATTGGAACATGAAAAAGAGAGCAAGGTATGTTACATTTAGATTCACTGTAATTTAGGCACATCCGCGCTACCATTGAATGGAGTAAATCATCACCTCATTTCTATTACCTCGTGGAAAGCAATATCAATTGTGAATTGTATACATCATTCCACCTAACCAGGAGCAGTTTTGAAAAATGCAACTATCGTCGGGCCCTCTGACAGGAATCGAACCTGCGGCCCTGCGATTCAAATTCCACCGAACTGTCCCTCTGTATAGCTAATGCAGTTGCAGTTATAGACCCATTGCACATGACGTCACAGCGCCGGTGACGATGCATCTGGAGGACAAATTAGCAATCCATGCATAATATAACTTTTGTAAACAAAGCAAATTTTGTAGAACTTTATAATAATTTTGTATTAAAATGGTTTTTTTTTGCGCTGTATGTGAGTGTTGTACCCGAACAAATATTGTTAGAGAGCATCTGGAGGACACTCTAAGGATTTGTGACGTCAGTGCAATGGGTTTATAGCGCTGCACCGGAATCGCAGGGCTGATTCATGCCAAAGTGCCGATAGTTGCATTTTTCGCAACTGCTCCTATCCAATTAGGTCTAATAAAATGTATGCAAATGGTGATTGCAGCTATAGACTAAATTTTGATCAAGGCAAGACGGAACGAAATGCAACACCACAGCAAGAAAGAGCATCGTAGAATGAGTAAAACTGTAAAGATTGGTTGCGAAATGTTGTAAAATGAAGAAAATATATATAGCTAGTCCTGTGAAGTTCGCAAATTTTGTATATATATTTGTGTTATACGCGCGGTAAAAATTGGCCTGAATATAATAAGGTAGATCAGTATGTACCAGGACGAACTCTACGATCATCATCACAAATCCAACTTGAAGTGCCAACCGAAAGTGGAACATTTCAGGACAGTGCTGCAGCTGCATTTAACTATCTGCCAGATAGTTTGCGAAATTGCAAAGATTTCAACATTTTTAGAACAAGTGTGAAAGTCTATCTCACAGACTTGGCCCACGAGAGGCTCGGGCCAGGGTATAAATGACTATGTTTTGTTACATCTGTTTTGTGAAATATGTACTGTGACTGTGTGAATGTACTGTATAGATGTATTAACTCTTCATAGCTACTCATTGTAAATATAGCACTTGTTAATATAGATTAGTTAATTTAGTGATAGAAGAGCCAATTCGATTTGGAATCGCTAATAAATCATTATTATTATTATTATTATTATTAACCACTTTCGGCTCAAAAATGGTTATTTTTCCCGCGCGTAATGCGAATATATACAAAATTTGCGAACTTGATGCACAGGGCTATATTTTCCTCGTTTTACAACAATTCGCAACCAAACTTTGCAATTTTACTCATTTTAAGATGCTCTTTCCAGCTATGGTAATGGTTGCGTTCATCTTGTCTAGATCAAAATTTCGTATGTAACTGGAATCATCCATTTCACTCAAAATTTTCATCTATACAAATCTCTTTATATTACCTCTACTTCTACCCAGCAGACAGCTCTATAATTTACAAACATTTGAAGTATTCCCCCATTATTTCGGGGTTTGGTTATATCCTTTTCATGTCATCCATGTGCAATGAATTTGTTCTTTGTTGTATTTTTCCAGAGGTTAAGGTCAGAAATCGAAGATCCTTCTCAACTCGAGGAAGCGCTGGAGAGCTTACACAGCAGTTACAGCAAGAAAATTGTCTCTGAATTTACAGAGCTTCAAAATTCTGCCGCAAATGATTTGAAAGAAAAGTCACAATTATCAGAGGAAGAGGTGGATGATTTCTGTTCAAAATTACTATATTGTTTGATATAATAATATATACACAGGAAAACAATGATTTAAGATACCGTATAAAGTGTGTTAAAAACGAGGCGCTGATCAAGTTTTAAAAAATATGTACGTAGTTGAGTCATTATTTCACGTGGGCCCAAGCAAATTGGGAAAATGCCTATTGATACTCCTAATAATTATTTTTAATAACTAAAGTAACCAGAAGGTATTAATAATTATGTTGAATTCTCATGTTATTGACACTGTCTTATTTTTTCTCAGGCAAACGCGATAATAATGAAGGTGCAAAGTAATTTGGCAGCAAGTGAAAAATTCTTTGTTGAGGAACAGACAAGACAAAGCATGGTCAGTTTTTCTCAATAATTTTATGCAAATATATCTAATGGACACCGCGCTCTAATACAGGCATCTCTCTAATATAGACATCTTTCTAATTATACGGACATTTCTCTAATACAAACATCTCTCCAACACAGACACCTCTCTCATACGGACATCTCTTTAATACAGACGTCTCTCTAATATAGACACCTCTCTAATACGGATATTCTCTCTATTAATACAGACACCTCTCTAGTATGGACATCTCTTTAATTATACGGACATCTCTCTAATACAGGCATCTCTCTAATACAGACACCTCTCTAATACGGATATCTCTCTAATACAGACACCACTCTAACATGGACATCTCCCTAATTATACGAGCATCTCTCTAATACAGACATCTCTCTAATACAGACATCTCTCTAACACATGCAGACACTTCTCTAATATGGACATCTCTCTAATACAGACGTCTCTCTAATACAGACATCTCTCTAATACAGACACCTCTCTAATACGGACATCTCTCTAATATGGACATCTCTCTAATACAGACACCCATCAAACTTAGCTGAAAACATCTGTACAACTGACGTTGACCCGTTGAAATACGTGACAGTAGGGACAGCTGATTTTAACTTCAAAAGTATTACAAAAGCAAATGTGAAAAGTGTATTAAAGAAATCGAAAGCTACCAAAGCAACAGGCACTGATAATATTTCAATTAAGCTTCTAAAATTAGCAGGTGACTCTATCACAGAACCATTAACATTCATTTTTAATTTGTCTTTATCTACTGGTATTTTCCCTGATGACATGAAATTTGCAAAAGTTACGCCAATCTTTAAAACCGGAAGTAAACTAGATTGCGGAAACTACAGACCAATCTCAGTTCTTTCGGCAGTTCCCAAGATATTCGAAAAGATTGTTTATGAACAATTCACGAAATTCCTAGACGACAATAACATTATTTCTAAACACCAGTCTGGCTTTCGGCCACTGCATTCAACCGAAACGACACTGCTTCAGTCAACTGACGAATGGCTTTTTAATATGGATAAGGGCTTAATTAATGGAGTTTTGTTTCTGGATTTAAAAAAGGCCTTCGACACAGTCGACCATAAAATTCTTCTTTTAAAACTTAAACGCTATGGAGTAGGTGGGATTGCATTCCAATGGTTTCAATCCTATCTTCAACAGCGACAACAAATCTGTAAAATTGCAGGCTCTTCATCTAATACCCAAACGCTACATTGTGGTGTCCCTCAAGGATCAAATCTTGGACCATTACTGTTCTTAATTTATATCAATGACCTACCCAATTGCCTTGAAACAACGCATGCCTCGATGTTTGCGGATGACACAAACTTGGCATGTGAAGGTGTTTCATCAGAACAAATTGAGCAAAAACTAAATAACGATCTTAATAATGTTCAAACGTGGCTAACATGCAACAAACTTACACTAAACAAAGAGAAAACTGAATACATGATTATTGGATCACGCCAGAAATTAAATAACCTATCTCGTAATCCGAACATAGTCATTGGAAACCATAGTGTGGAACGAGTTCAGGACAAAAAAGTCTTGGGTGTAAAAATTGATAAAGAATTGAAATGGAAAGATCATATCGATGCACAATGTAAGAAAATTTCTAAGAATATAGCCCTCCTAAGGAGGGCGAAAAACTTTACAACAGAACAAACACTTTTGACAATGTATAACGCGCTAATTTTACCCCATTTAACTTATTGTTCCAATGTATGGCATGATGGAAATAATGCAAATATGAACAAGCTTGTTAAACTGCAAAAAAGAGCAGCTCGTGTGATAGCAGGTTCTAATTATGAGATACGTTCCTCTGACATTTTTAAGAAACTTAATTGGGAACCACTAGAAACCACTCTGAAAAAACGCGAACTTGTGATGACTTTTAAAGCGATTAGAAGTTTCGCACCAGAGTATTTATCTAACCTTTTCACCGCTACTTTCAACAATGATTATAGCCTTCGAAGTAATAACAGAAATCTCTGTTTAAAAAAACCTAAGACGAATTTTATGAAAAATAGTTTCTCTTATCGTGGATCATCATCATGGAATAAACTACCTATGCAAATAAGGGATAACTACAATCAACTCTCTATTGACTCATTCAAAAGTACTATTAATGGATATTTCAAGTCATAGATTGTTGAGTGTTTGCATGATTTATGTCACTATTATAGATATATATGATTTAAAACAATTATTGCATGCTATTTTGTTATTACGATATTAATTAGTTTTTAGTCTGTAGATAGTATACTTTTGTAAATAGATGCACGGCCCTATGAAAACCAGGACACTGATAGGTTACCGTGTTTAAATAAATTTAAATAATAATAATAATAATAACTAATATAGATACCACTCTAATACGGATATCCTTCTAATATGGGCATCTCTCTAATACAGACACGTACCTCTCTAATGTGGACATCTCTCTGATACGGACACCTATAGTTTCGAATAAGGACACCTCTCCGATACAGATACCCTCTAATACGGACACCTCTTAAAAGTGAAATAGGGGTCATCTCTAATGCGTATGACGGGCACTAAGTATTGAATACACAGATTTCATAGATTATTTTTAAGCCTTCTTGGTCGTTCTAACATACAAAATTTAATGTAGATATATACTGATGCTTTCCAGGTTTTACAAGAGAAGTTATTACGTAGACAGGCTCTGGTTCAACTACGTGATCAGATGAACGATCAGGTAAAATGCGTGGACATGCTTTGAGCCATTATTTCAAGTTACTGGGATTTTTATTGCTTCAAAACCTTCGTGTGTTGTTGTAAAATTTTATTGTCGTTGTATTTTTAGGAAACAGAAGCTATTGAAAACTTGCCAAAGAAACATCGTGAAGCCTTCGACAAACTTTGCCAAGATAATCAGAATCTTGAATCTCAAAGAGACGAGTAATATATCATACTTTTGTATTATTCACGTGCTGATAACCTGACTAGGTTTATCATGTGATCAAGCTAACCAAAGTTGTTTTTTTTACATTACAAGGATTTTATCAGAATATGAGCAAGATCTAGCTCGATTGCAGGAAAATCACGAACACAGTAAGTCTTAGGCCCCAGATTCACTTGTCACAATATCGAAGTTGACAATTTCAGGTACCCAGGAAGCGGCATGAGCGGCATTTATACTGTAGCTAAGTCGTAACAAGTGAATTCGGTATCGTGTACAATTTACAATACTATACCTTAAAACAAAATAGTAGACATTACAAATAGCAAAACTTGAGTTAGATAAGCGATTGGCAATAAAATTACACTGTAATAACAGAAAATACACATGCATAAAAGTTCTCTAAATATTACTGAGCAGAATACGTCATTCTCCTCGTCAATGCTAATAATGTAATAACGGAGGATCTCTTTTCTTTCACTTAATGCATGGGAAAGAATCAAATGAAAGAGATGATAGAATACAGACTAGAGTATTCAGGCCTACTGTTGTAGCTTTGTTATCAAGATTTGTATCATGCAGATAGGTCAATAGGTATTGGAGGATAAAATTGATCGATAGATTAGTTTAGGACTTGAATCAGTCTCTTTGACGAGCTCAAGGTTTTCCTTATACTTTCAGATGTTCTCGCTCAACAAAACAAGCTGGCGTTAAAATTGAAACAGAAGAGAGAAGAGAGAATACAACTGTTAGCTTTGAGACAACAACAAGAAAAAGAAGAACATTACAAAAAGGTATTCGTGCAGAGTTAAAAAATTATGACGTTTATTATAGGTTCAAGGCTTATATAGGGCGGGTATATACCAAGCGTAGTGTAGGCAGTATTCAGTATTCTTCAATTGGGTATGTGAACAGCCTAGTTGTAAAAGATTAAAAGAAAAATTAGCCCTTCTTTAGCTGGTTACTTTGGGATTTAGTTGGGAATGGTTCCGTGGTATTCAGGTTGTTAATTGCAAACGAAAGCTAACAGAGCCGGAACATAGCTTATTAAATCTAATGATTGGTTTATTTCACTGTTTATTTAGACATGCCAGCAAGTATCCGAGGGTGAAATGGATCTGGAAGCTTTTGTCCAAGAACAAACGAATCTCAAGAAAAAACACACGATGGAGCGAGAAGATGAAGAAGGCCAAGCCGACAAAACAGAAGCTGAAGAGTTGGAACGATTGAGACAGGTGAGTCTTAATTGGACGTCTTCAATAAGATACCAGATAGCTGTATCAGGGTTCCCAGTATAATTTGAAGTAGGAGGCATTTTAAAAGAAGAAGGCGGTATGCGTGGTGGAGTACGTCTCTCTGAAGATCGAAGATTCTGAAATTTACACTCTCTGAAATGGCGTTTCCAGCCATTTCGTTCACAGGTTTTGGAGGTTTTGTAATTTTGAACCCTGGCTTATGTTCACTTGTGTACCGTATTAGCTTAGAGTATTGTGTTTTGGGGCAATTGTGACAGCCCAGTGAAGTCTCTCTTGTTTTACTTCGATCCAAGTTGATTGAAAATAAAAACCAATAATAATAGCGGAATTGTTCAAAGCACGATGATAGATCCAGTTGTTAACAGTGGTACACTGGTAAATATATTGTAGTTTACCTTAAAGTTTGTGAACTGGCTTCGATTTTGCAATTGTGGTGCAGTTTTGATTCCTGCAACATGCTATTTAACCAAGACGTTTGGCAAGCCATAGAAACAGTGTTTCTGACAAAATGTGTTTCCGAATTTGCTTGGAAACACTTTTTATTCCTGAGAAGCAAGGCTTGCAGCATTCGAGTAAACGTCGGAATTTTCAAATCTTGGATTTTCGATAAGATATTGCAGGATCTTGGCAAGATCTTGCAGGATCTTTGGTAAGATCTTGCAGGAATTCGGAAAGATTTTGGGTAAGCTCTTGTCAAGATCTTATTGGGATTTCGGCAAGATTGTCAACCTAGGGAATGTTTCCGAAGCCTGGCAACATTTGAAAAAACGTCAGAATTTTCAAATCTGCCTTATTTCTTCGCTTAGCATCTGGAAGAAGAACGAGAGAAAAAGATCCAGTCTTACGAAGAAAACATAGTAAAGAAAATGGCAACGATGGCGCAATTATCCAACGAGGATGTTCAACAATTCATGGAAGAACATAGAAAAGATATGGCTGTATATAATGGTTAGTTGATGTTGAGAACTCTTAAGACCTGTATGTCGGAATTTTTTTTCTGTGTTTTCAAATTGGCAAAACCCAACTGAATGCTAGATTTCTACCATATTTTGTACCATATTTTCTTGTTTCTTCAGATAAACTGGAAGAAACGAAGAGTCAACAACGTTCACAGTTGAAAGAGAGAATCGAAGCTCGTAAAGCAAAACTAGAGCGAGAACGAGCTCAGCATAAAAACGAACAAACACAGTTGATTACTCAACAAGAAGAGGTCATAGATCAAGTTTTAAAGATGCAAGTTGGTCTCACAGAAGAGTATGTATTCTTGCATGTACATAAAGTTGAACAAGATCCCACAAGTGAAATTATCCGCCAGACTACTGGCATTCTCATTTATAGACGTTTAATAGTCTGATACACATAGCTTTCCATACGTCTTAGTTCCTCATGTAGTCCAGTAGCTCTTTACCACAGTCTGTAGTCTGGTCCATCATCATTCTATATCTGCAAACAAGTTGTTATAAATCTGTCCAGAAGTTGAGTTCACATTGCTTGTTTCCAGTTAACAACTTGTAACAAGCTTGATGACATTGTCAGACTTGTTACATGGTTGTTCTACAAGTCTGATACAGTCATGATTTAACAAGAATGTCACAATGTTGACGACACCAGTTTGTAACAATATTGTTATATTACGACTGTATCGGACTTGTTGGTGTTAACAACCTTGCAAATTGTTGCAGGCTTCCTAACTGTTTAATTTATTTGTAAGGGCGAGAAAACAAGTGATGGCTGAGCATGAACAGAATTTAATGAACTTGAATAATCATCTGCAAATCACACGACTACGACAACAAAAAAGGTGGGCATCTTATTTATTAAAGTGCGACTAACCCCAAATATAATTTTTGCTATGTGTAATATTTGGCTCATTCTGCGATGAAATGTAATATATCTTTATAGTAAAAACCTCATCTTGATCAACTTTTTACTGTCAAAGTTCCAAATATGACGCCATTATAGGTGAATTTTTGGTTAATACAAAAAACAAAGGAAAACTACATGAGTAATTTGCAATTCCTCTGATGACTTTATATCCGGAGACTGACAGTGAAAAAGTTGATCAAGATGGGATTTTTACTATGAAGATATATTACATCTCTTCTTCGAATGACCCAAATATTACACACACCAAAAATTATATTTGTGGTTATTGATGCGGTTATTCCAACAACTTGTGAACAGGATGTGTTCGCATTGCTTGTTCCCAGCTTGTTGACAACTTGCTTAATTGTTGACAACTTGCTACAAGGTTGTTGAACTCAACAGACTTGGTACAAGTTGTTCCAACAATTTGTTGACAACCTTGTAGCAACTTGATGAAATAATAACATTGTTACAACTTGTTGACAAGGTTGCTACAAGCCTGTTGCGAATGCATCTTGTTAGCAAGTTGTGAGATTTTAACGTGTTTTATACAGGTCTAAAATAGTCTGATTAATTCAGTAAGGCCAGTTAGGAAGTCCTGGTTAAATCAAATTTTCGGTAGGAGCAGTTCAAAGATAACTAAAATAACCAGGAAATTATAACCAGTGTGTTATTTATGTGCTTGCAATTTTACATTTCACTAAGGCTATACGTTTGTACGAAACAGGAGAAAGTCGAAAGACTTAGTATTTCACCGGGACAAATTGGAGCACATCCAAACATATGAAACCCCGTGTGAACAAATGGCAGCGCAAGAATTTGCAGTCCTGTGTGAACGCTGTTTAAAAAATTTTCTCAACTTTTGTAGGTTAGAAGAAAGATTAGCCCAGCGCAAAGCAAAACTCGCGGAAATGAAGAAATCTCAAGAAGAAGAATTGTCCAGGAATGATCCAGATAAACAAGAAAGTTTAGCAAAGGAACAGGTTGATATACGCTATCAAATATTCAAAATTCTTACGGAGTGTCGTACATAACTTTAGCGAGACCCGTTCAAACCAACATTATTGGACCAACAACGTCGAATAGCAATTCATGCATTCTGGGAAAATACTTAACGGTGGTTTCTATGCATATTTTACTATATCCTTATTTGGGGACCATCTTTAGCTGGGGGCTCTGGGCAAATTGCCCCTTTTGCCCCTCCCCCATCTGGACTACCCTGCATACCTGATCGTATTAACCCGATCGGGCCTAATCCAACATCCTTAATTAAACACCAGCCAACATTACCAAACATAGTTTTCAAATAACAGACCCAACAATGTTGCAGCCAGCAATATAAGATGATGTTGGACCAATATGTTGGAAAGGTTTGAACGAGATCCATAGTTCGGAGCACTAATGCGCTAAATAGAATGGGTAGAACCTAGCCAGACCTTCTCGCGTGACTGGTCGGTCTTGAACTGCGGAAAAAGGCCTAGCGAAATTCGTCCACTTGCTTTTGGTCCTAAATTCACAAAGCAATCTTATTGGAACTGCCAGTACATGTACTTTTTTCCATATCGAAATATCTTCATTGTTCATCCCAAAGGCATATTATTGTACAAAAACATCAATGACAATGTAAATATGTAGAACCCAAGATCATTCTAACGGCAAAAATGGTTCCAAGAATGGCAGATTTGTGAATTGTATTAGGTCTTCTTGCATGCTTTCTGTCTCTCGACAAGGCTTCTCAATCCATGCAGTGCGCCTAGCATTGCGGAAACGAACGGCAGGAAATAGGCTACGTATTACCCTAGGTGGACCAGTGCATGAAATCTCCATGAAATACTGTTTCTGTGGCTGCTACAGTGCCTTGCTTCTATCTTAGAACAAAGCCTATGAAGAAGAAATTAAGAAGTTAGAAAACGAACATGATAAAGCTTTGGAAGATTTACGGCGGTATGTGTTGACCAGTACAATTTTTCTTGACTTACTGCAGTACATGCGTGGACAAAACACTAAATATAGTGTTCCAGTTAGTGTTTTGGGTGGTTATTGTTTAAATGGGGAAATGTTAATTATGACGACATGTTCTCCAACTAGTTATCTACAGACACAGTATACACTATTTCAAACACCAGCAGGAGTGCTCTATCAGATATAAAACACGAGAAAATCATACTAAATTTATGTAAATTAACATGATTTTTTCACTTATAAAACCACCGAGACACGGTAGTGATTTTCTTTGTCTTTTCCTCATGAGTTATTTCTTTTGTCTTTTCCCATTAATGAATTTTTTAAACAATTTTTAAATATGCATGAGGTTATTGATTATGTTCAGACGATTGGCCTTGGAAACCGAGGAGGCACTTAAAGAGCAGGATAAAAAGCTGGGTGAAATCTTAGGAAAACATCAAGTAAGTGAAATTGAATTTGTATTTTGTAATCTATATATTGAGTAAATATTGATTTGTTAAAAGTTTAACATATTTTATGAACTAGCTTTCTTAATCTCTTCACTCAATTTTGTTTAAGGTCGGCGTCGCAAGAAGAGACGAAATTATCCGTCGACAAAATGAAACGATCAAAGCAATTGAGGTGAACAATTTCCCATTAAGTATGAGATTCGGAGTACAAGATTCTTGATTATAAATCTTGTGGAAATTACTGGTTATTTAAAACTACTCGATACACCCTTAATTAAGAATTCAGTCTCGGCCATACAACCTCTTTTCGTAATTTATATAATTGGGTTTAGAATCTTTTATCTTGTTGCATGTGACACATTTACGAAATTATAGAGTTACAATAGATAATCTAAAATAACTTTAGGCCAAAAGGCCAAAAAAAATATGTGGGTTTCCTATTTCTTCTTGTAAAAACTTAGATAGGATAGGTCGATTTTAACTTTTTTTAAAACTTTTTTTAAAAATTTTCCTAACAACCGGACGCCATCTCAGTACTTCCACATCCAAAGATAAATTTCCCTAATATTGCATCAAATTTCTATTTTCCAAAAGAAAGTTTTCCTCTAAGTGGAAACACTTACAAGCACGATCCAACAAAAAAGTTTAGGGTCGGGAAACCGGAAACCCACAGATTTTTTTTGGTCTTATTAATTACGTCATCAGTAACAGTATAAAGGGCTCCTAAGCCGATATCCCAATCACGAAAATGGGGCTCCATCGCCAAGACTTAGTAGTCTGAGTACTTTCCGGAAGGATGTATTCAATGGGCAATTCCAGATATAGACTAAATTTTTTATCTAGGCAAGAAGAACAAGAAGAACAAAATCCATCACCACAGCTAGAAAGAGCATGTTAAAATTAGTAAAATTGCAAAGTTTGGTTGTGAAATGTTGTAAAATGAGGAAAATATAGCCCTACGAAATTTGCAAATTTTGTATTAATTTGTGTTACGCACGGAAAATGCAAGTGGCCGGCATTTTCCCATGCGTAATACAAATCAATTGACAAAATTTGCAAATTTCGTAGAGCTATATTTTCCTCATGTTACAACATTTCACAACCAAACGTTGCAATTTTACTCATTTTAACATGCTGTTTCTAGCTGTGGTGATTTAAATTTTTTATTCTTTCCTGGATGAAAATTTAGTCTATAGCTGAAATTGCCCTCCCGAAGTGAAGTGTATTTTTTGCATTTGGGGGAGCTAGTCAACTAGAACAGCATTAATAACAAATTTTGAAGTGTAAAACAGGCTACATACTTACACGTGTCATCTCTTACCGTAATCAGGAAAAAATGGTGGACAAAATAACAAAGGAAGGAACATTTGCCGAAAACACGACAGAGAAAATTCTGAAACAACATCAACGTCAAATTATAAAATTGGAAACCAAAATTAACGAGTAAGACCCACCTTTTAGTGATTTTATTTAATTTCTTTCTCTTTCATTCCTTACTCTCTTTCATTTCACTTTCGTTCATTTTCTTCTCTTTCATTTCATCCTATACTTCATTATTTTTTACTACAGAGCAAAACAAGCCCAGGAACGTAACATGTATCAGAAACTTGAAGCAAAAAGATTGAAAAAAGAAAAGTAAGAACTGAAATATATCAAGTCGGTGGCGAAGGTAACCATAGCAACTGGTCATGCTGCATGTGCAAATTTTTAAATATTTGTATTACTCAAACCTTAGAAATCTATTGTCTTTAATCTGTTTTAGTGTTTATTTGCATAGCATGACCAGCTACCATGTCTAGGCTTCGCCACATAAAGCAAACAAACACGATAGTCTATTAGACTAAACAAACACCGACGTGGTCTTAAAGTACTGTTTAATAAACGAACAGGAGTGTCTTATTAGGTTTAAAGCCACGAGCGCGCACCGCGAGTGGCTTTAGATCTAGTAAAACACGTCCTGCGAGTTTATTAAACGGCTTCAAACACGACCACAAATTCAATAGCAATACTGCTTTATTAGCATTCTTTATATAAAGAATACTAACGAGGACACGACTGCAATAGATACTGCCTTATTAGTATTCTTTATATAAAGAATACTAATTAGGAGTGTTTTATCAGGTTCTCTCTCCTCCGCAGAGGCTTTAGTTTTCTTAGGATTTAACATTTCGATCAGATACGTTTCACTACACTTTACATGGCGTTTAAAGCGTGACATATTATGGTTGACATGATTTGCCATTCTCGTACCCAGAGCCCTTCTTACGCGCGGTGCGACGAGGGGCTCTGGCCAAATCCATATCCGAACTGGCATCTGATTGGCTAGTTCTAACACCGGATATTGTTTTCTTACCATGTTTTTATGGTATCCGGTTACGGATTTGGCCAGAGCCCCTCGTCGCACCGCGCGTAAGAAGGGCTCTGGTACGAGAATGATGATTTGCCAATTAGCTCATGAATTATTAATGAGTGTTTAAAGGCCTGTTTAAGACATTTTACTCACCGTCTAAAGCACGGTTTACACTATCAAAGTTTCTGTGATCATAGTAGGAATTTTGCAAGTTTTGAAGGATTTTTAAGAAATGTTTGAGGAAAGTTTTGCTTGTATTTTTCAATGCGTGCAGTATCTATTATTTCTATGGATCCCTCTCAGTGCGGGGCTTAGTAGTTTCGTCATTAATTTATGAAATAAAGAAATGGCATGATCAATTCTCTTTTTTAAACATTCCACAGAGCTCTATCTGCTGAGATGAACGACAAAGCTGAACAGCAAAAGAAAAAAGGAGTGAGGTTGTGTATATTAGTTCTTTTCACTTTGTATGTCATGTAAATCTGTAAACTATAATGCATGCGGGTAAAAAAATGATGTCACTGGATGTCGAGCAGAAAAATTAAATTGATGTCATTAAATGGGTTTGGATGTTTGGTGTATTCAGTATCTTTTCCCTAACATATTTCTGCTATTTAATCTACAGATCAGCAACAAGGGTAATGATGAATTCTCTTGCTCAAACTCAGCTCAAACATAAGCTTGAGGTACACTACACTCATTTTTTTATTGTGGTTCTTTCGAGAAAATTTGATTTTCATGTTTCTGAGACTTAGTTGGATCACTAGGATGGTACTTCATTTTCGACATTTCTAGGGACTACAGAAGAGACGTAATCTCAATCCATAAATTACTGTGCAAAATATCCCAAGTATAATACGGATCAGTAAAATAGCCATGTATAGATCACTCCGGTATATATGCTCAGTTCAGTGGTGGGAGGCAGTGAATGTGTTTGCCTATTTCCGACTGCTGACCCGTTACTAGAGAGGGATATCATTCATCAATAAACCCAAGAAAAACTATGATTTAATTATGTTATAAAATTGGGCAGCTATACAAAAAATGCATTATATAGCACCACCTAGGGAATAAGCCACAGGCTACCCCAATTACGGCGACCACTTAGTTACATTAACATTAATAACGAGCAATGTAGACAGTATACCAAATTGACAAAAAGACATCAGACAACGAACACCATCTTAAAACACCACCCATGCACCTGGTCCTTTCACATTTAACACATACAACTATCCAATTTACTTTTCGGACAAACTGGCTAAAAGGGTGCAATATATACTGCCAAAAATACTGCCAAGGATCTTTTCAGGCAGTAATACCTATATGCTGAAATAGGGCCGCCCCATGCATACAGAATCATATTCCGATTCATAAGTGCTATTTGGCTTAATAACTTATAGTAACATATATTTAGTAAGTTATATTTCCTCGAGGACAAGGGGACAGTTGCCCCTGGACTCTTTCCGTATCCACACTGAATCATATCATTCATGTCTATTTAGGAATTGAGGCGAGAAATGGAAATGGAACTCTCGAAACAAAAGGAAGAACTAAATCGAATTATGGAAGAGAAACTTATGGAAGAACTGCAGGTCCTTCTTCGCAATTCTTTATTTTTGTGAATTATTCTCTTGTGCTATAAAGAATTTTGTACAGTACAAAATACACAATGAATACAATAAATATATAAAACATCTTATTTTAGTTACACGAGAAGAACTTCATTACTCAGTTGGCATCGATAAGCCACATGAATGAAGAAGAAATAGCAAAAATTTGCAAAGAAGCAGTCACAGGTAAAAGCAGTAGTTGACCCACACAGAACTTGACTTTTCCACAGTCCCCAAAAATTTGCTTGGAAAAAATTAAGATCATGTGACCTGCAAGGCAGACACTTGCACTCTGGAACAAAACGGAAAACTCTTGGGCCACTTCCGAATTTTCTCTCGAATGGCCACAGACAATGCACCCTTCCTAAAAGTACTTAGCCATGGCTATAGGGCCTCGTTCTCGTGTTTGACACATTAGCCTCATTGCCCTTTATCTTGTTACTGATAACAAAATTATAAACAGGTATTCTATATTCACTGATATAACTGCATGGTTTCCGTAAACTCAATATCTTAATTACGAAAACGAGGCTCTATAGCCAAGACTGAGCATGCACTTTCCGGAAGGGTGTACAGCGTGAGAACGAGGCTTCGTGCTAAATTGTAATGTTTCTATAGCAAATTGGTACCAACCCTCGACATGGCGTTATTATTCTTCAAAACTAGAGCGTAATTGGGAAATAGTCTTATAGTCTATTCCGTCCTCAAACTTTATTTCCATTTACCAAGCTGTTATTATTTATGCTTCTTTTCTTTTCTCGTGTTAGAATCTGGTGGTGATCAGCAGACGTCGAAAAAGATATCGAAAGATCTACGCAAGCGTATTCGCAACACTAAGCAGGACGCTGTAGTTTAGCCCAAATCTTTACTCTTCCACCTCAAACTCGCCATCGGTTTCAAGAAGCGTTTCATAATAATAATAGAGAGGTTCAGATATGGCTTTCTCTACCACTACAGCTGCCTCTCATTGGCATTTGATTGGTTAATCAGGGAGAATAAACCCATCTGATTGGTCAATGATCGTTAATGGTAGTGGAAGTTAAAATCTGAACCTCTCTAATGCCACATGATGGTCAACGGTAAAATTATTTGCACTTCTCGGAGCACGGAAATTATTCTCAATATATCCATAACTTGTATTTGTCAGCAAACACGAACAACGTCAGTATAAGTGAACGATTTAGTCAATGCCGGACACTTCGCAACTTTTTTTTGGGAAGTGGCGAATTCAGGTTGCCAACATATGATATCTTTCTGTTGGTATCTTAGCTCTCGAAACTGGTATCTTAGTTCTCGAAACTTTTTTCCCTTAAATTTATGCAACATATTGCTCAATTTCAACGCTTTCGTGGTTGGAAAATTAGTGTTACGACTTTGTTGCACAGCGATTCAGCTATCATCCAAAGCACTCCGCTAGTGTCCGCGACTGTATATCAGTAGTTTAATTTCAGTGACGTATTTATTGAGTGGAAAGTAATGCAAAGCTCATGGAGTAACTTAATGTGCACAGAATCGTTCTACTCGTAGTGAGTATATTTGCATTTATATTTAACTGTGACCACTGTATATAATTTATTTATTAACAATTAATGCATGTAGCATATTTATTAAGTACAAAGTAACTAAAATAACACAAAATCTAAAGAGTTTTTAAAATACTATGACTCGAGGTACTATCACAAGGAAAATGTTACCCAGAGTCCCAGACTATGAACGGTATACAGTCACAGAATAGGAACTTTACGGAAGGTCGACTTCTCGGTTTTGCCTACGATTTTGGCGTAACCGTGCAATGCTGTCGCCATGGTCCTTGCCGGTGCGCTTATGAGAGGCATTCACCCCCCAGAAAGTAATCAAAATGGCGGACGTTCAGGGGGGTGGATGGTGGATGCCTCTCTCGTGCCTAATTTGTGTATGATTACTGATATGCCATTTCCCATTTTTTGAATTTAAACCTCTGTCACTGTTCTGAGCTACATAAACACGATATTTGCACAATGTTCCATTTGACCAATCACAAATCATCCTAAGTTTTTTGGTAAATCCCTGTTGCCAAACAAGGTTTTAAACGCAAGTTCGCAGAGGTTATCAAACAATTCCCGAATCTGCAGCAGTACAAGGCCCTCTTACTCACATTATTTTTCACCCTGCTCGGTTTCCTTTGTTCTTATCGGGGAATATATTCAATATTCCACTCTAATCAATTTCCGTTTAATAATCCCCTCTAATATTCACCTGCAATTAATAATCCCCTCCAATATTCACCTGCAATGTCTTTGCAGCACAAAAAAGAGAAAAAAAACAACATAACGAAGGCAATATGGCATTAAGAATTATTTCTATTCTGTCTCATGAACGCAACCTCGCAATGTGAAAAATAAGTACGTTATTTTGAGGCACCTCGGGGATATGTGTTTATTCACCTCGGCGCTGCGCGCCGCGGTGAATAAATCACATATCCCCTCGTTGCCTCAAAATAACCTATACATAACATGAAGTACAAGGGTGCATCGAAGTATTTTCAGTGAGAATTCAGTGAGTGGATTTTCAAATCGTAAAAAACGAAGATGAAAATTCAATATTTTTAATGTTTTGTTAAATATTTATCCAACAATATGGCAACTCGCTGTACGAGTGCATCAAATTTGAGCGATTTAATTCGCAGAGACAGTTCAGTGACAGTTCCTGGCGTCGGAAAATCAGATAGACGAACGTTCGGCTTGGCAGCTTCGACTCCGTGTGCGGCCGATTGGCAAGATGTCGTTAACCAAGTTACTACGTTATTTCAAACGAAAAAAATGACAATGAAGCTACATGAACTCACAGTTAAAGTCAAAAACGTTAAGTCTGATGTAGGCAACCAAATTAACGAGCTTTATCAAGAGTCGATTTTGAAAAAAGGAATGATTATTTTACGAGAAGAAGTGAGAGAAAAATCCGGTGATTATTTGGAAAAGCTTGCCAGCTGTTGGACGGTTTTCTTTTGTAATATTTTACCAACATTGCAAGCTGTGTTTGCCTCATTGCCTCAGGCAAATGGTCTCGCAGTACGCGAGATTTCTCTGGTCTATTTCAGAGATATTGTTGTTTTGAAAACTAAATTAGATGAAGTTATAGATGGAGGAAGGGAGGTACCCCCCCGTATTGTTCAAATGTTGTTAGTTTTACAGGTAAGGGAAATTTTGTTTCCGGGGGGTGTAACTGTAAGTTGTTTTGGTATTGGCTCAGTGGATTTAAATAAGCCCCATTTACACTAAGAAATTATAGCAGTTTGCTTCAATGTATGCATATGTATGCTTCATCCAATTGTCAAAATGGCGAGAAAAAAGAACAGATAACAAATAACAGAGGCATTACATGGCCAGATACACTACAGCAACTATAGCTTTGCTGAATAATCCATGGCCGGCAGGCCTCGAATTTCCCTGAAATCAATCGATGGCAATGGCGTTAAAAATTGCCGTAGAACGTAACAGCTGTCTATGGCCATTTTTCGCAGTTTCCACGGCATTTTTCAAATTACTGTAATAAAACTTTAATTTTATTGTTACTTTGGATTTTTGACAAGCTAGAAACATGTCTACGTATTTCGTTAGTGTTTTTTTTTTCGAAGAAAACTGAGACTAAAATAGTGATTTACACATGATTTGATCAACATCTGAATTCAAGTATCAAAGTAGTAATGCACAGTGAATAGTTTAAAAAATTACACTATACGGCAAAAAATTGCCGTTGTTGCCGCAATGATCCACAGAATTTTGTTCTCCCTCTACGGCAATTGCCGCGATAAAATTCGAGCCCTGATGGCCGGTGAACCAACCATATGAGTGACATACAGTGCTACACTAATAGCTTAGTGACAGTGCTTCACTAAAGTACTAAGTATGTACATGGAGAATACACTTGACAAGTTATTTATTGAATGTTTTAAGAAATATGTTTAAACCCTGCAAAATTATGCTCAAGTTTATGTTTGGTACTGGACCCTGTTTGGGAGGGAAGCGGAGCCCGGCTTGCGAGTTTGAATCGCACTTTGAAAAGTGACCTGAAATGGAAATCTTTATTCCAGAGTGTCCATGATAGTAATGCTGAAAACTACCTGAAGTTGGAAAGACTTGTAGCAAAGACAGTCACTCCTTATCTCAGTACTTCAGTTTTATGTCTCACGAAAGCAAAAACATCAAATGTCGATGGCGATGCATCAGAACAATATCAACCTAAAGTGTTCATGCCTGGCAATGAAAGACTCGATCCTGTTATTGAGGTTGATGTTGGATCACAACGTTCATCTGTATCCTCTATGTCAAATGAAAGTATGGCTCCTGCCACGCCCTTACTTAAAACACCTAACATTGAATCAGGGTATTCTCATAGTAATCCTTGCTAGAACTAGGGGACCGAGACTCGCCTCCAGCACTTACATGTACATCTCAAATCTCAATGCTTTGTATCCTCTCTATCAAATGAAAGCATGATGCCAGACACATCCTTACTTAAAACAGCAGACATTAAATCAGCAGATAATTACTCATAAATAGCCTGTATGCACCAGAACCTTCTCTCTAGCTGTTTAATTCTGGACAAAACTCTGAGGCCAGTCCGTATGAAGGCTCGTAGTGATTGAACGATTGTGCAACAATCAGAAATTACTGATCACCATTAAAATGCAACTTGTATCAACGTGTAATGCATAATAATTTTTAAAGTGCGCATTTTCTCAACAATCATCAAGGCAAAAATCAGCCCGATACCGATTATTGGTTAATCACTAAAGGCTGGATAATGATTTTTTCAACCATTGCAAAAATGCTCGAAACGTGATAAAACTATGAATGGGTTGTTCCAAAAAAGATTCACACCTCCCCCACAGTGGAAATTTCTGCCATGCAGAGGGGGAGGGAGGAAAAATTTGTTTCTGACAAAAGTAAGTGTATTAAGATGCAAGGGGTACAGGGAGTTAACTTCCAATTTCCTCCATGGGGGGAGGTATGGATGTTTTCTGGAATGACCCAATATGGATCCCACAATTAATAAGAGGAAACTTTAATTTTTATATATTAAAGTTTAATCAGGGTTATATGTACCAGTCAATGGCCAATTTAAGAAAGCTTGAAAATCCCTATCCAGTGGATAGCACTATCCAGCTTTCATACAACCGGCCTCTGATTGTTTTGTCTTCAATCATGTTTCCATCTAAATAAGAAAAACACTTCTTGAAATATTGATATCTAAGACTCTTCATCAAAGGAATTCCTGTAGTATGAAGAGCCTACTAGTTAGATGCTAGCCTGCGTGGCAGGCCCTCAAATTTATGGGGGGCCTGATTTGCAGCGGGCAGGATTTTGGCGGGCTCTGCCAAAATCCTGCCCGCTGCAAATCAGGCCCCTCATAAATTTGAGGGCCTGCCACGCAGGCTAGTTAGATGCTTGTAACTTTGAGAAGTGTTTTTTATTCAATTGAATTGCTGATGTGTTCCTATATTCCCAAGAGATTAATATTATGTTTCTACATGTCGAATCATTGTGGTTTAATTGTCGTTGATGGCTCAAACCAAAACCCTGAAACAAGAATAGTAGTGTTATCAATAGCACAATTTGTGAAAATTAGAAGATGACATTACGATGTTGCAAAAATTTATAGAATCACATGATTCATTAGCTACAGTACATGACTACATGATTGTATTTCTCCAACTTGGAGAGCAGCCCCTGGTTGCTGAATGAGTCATGGCTGCAGAAAGTAGGAAGCAATGGAGCGATGCTACATCCTAAATCGAAAGGGCTAACTCCAAACCAACATGTACACTAAACTTGAGTAACTTGTGTAATTAAAAACCAACTGAGTTGAAATATAAATTGTGGAGTTACTGGTTAACTCCAAAAATCATTTGGAGCTAGGTATAACTCCAAAAATTATTTCGGAGCTACTGTAGGTATCTAAGCCTGGAGTTACTGGCTAACTCCAAAAATCATTTAGAGCTAAGTATAACTCCAAAAATCATGAACAAGCTAGGTATCTAAGCCTGGAGTTACTGGCTGACGGCACACTTGGTATTTTCTCCTCGTTCAGAGGCTAGATTTTGATCTGCAGTTGCGGCGCAACCCATTCTCGTACCGCTCGACCCTCGTCATGCTTTGTTGACCGCATGTAAGACGGGCTCTGGGTACGAGAATGTGGCATAGCCTAACTCCATTTGAAGATTGGCTACCTCCACAAAAATAAACTCTACAGGTATGGCTGAATAATGAGTGGCAGGGGATGATCATAGAATATACAGTACCTTGTATTTGCATGCTATTGGTACAACACGTTATCACTCCCTGTATTTTTAGCACCCCTTGCATTGCCCAATAAACCCTATGCCTCCCTAATAATATATCACTCCCCGCCCCCCTCGCATTACGTGGAGTGCTCCCAATATCTATCTAAAGTTTTAAATATGTAACTATTGTATGACAGGGAAAAAAAACAATGCGATTTGACGGAAGCATCTGCGGCATGAATGGGTCAAGGGTACTTGTAAAAACATGCATTTATAATTAATTTTTATTCTGAAGCTTAAGTAAACATTCTAGTCTCTCTTTTCACATTTCCATTTGAAAATCAGAGAAAAAATTGGATATGAGTATCATTATATTAGCCTTATGTTTCAAGCAAAGCCAACCACAATAAACAATACTGGCAAAATGCGTCTTTATATTAGCGCAGGAATGTTCTCCCTCTTTGAAATGGTTCCAGAATAGTTTACTTCTCGTCTCCACTTGTTTTTTCGTGTTAGAGTCTCGAAATATCCATATTTAGTCGTTGGGAATTTTTCAAAGATATCTTTCATAACTGATCGCAACTCTTTACCGCTCAATTTCCCACACTTTGTCCAAGCACTTGTGTGCTATAATTGATAGAGATTTCCTGTCGATAAGTAATTTTATTGCTCTGTATTACCGATGATTTTCGTGCTTAAATATATTGAAAGCCACAATTATATATAATTACAAAATAAGCGTGCCAAAAAGTTTGCGATTACAGACCTGCCAACCCTAGAGTGGCAGAAATCGTGAGTTGTATTTCACAAAGTTAACGTCGTGAAATTTTAGAAATCTCTTAGGTTTTCGTATGATTATGATTAAATGTATCAAAAAGTCAGTTCTTTATTTAGCTCGAATTTTTAAAGTCACTAATGTCTCTGCTAAACATAATCCTCATATCACATACGATATGTATCTTGAGCTATATCTGTGCCAGTGTAGGTAGTGGCAATAATATAAACAAGCTTTCGTTGATAGGGACGCAACTACCTGAAAAATATAAGGAGAATTTCGACGTTTCGAGCGAAGCCCCCTCGTCTGGAGTTAGTGGCATGGAAATGCTGTTTAATATCGCCTTATTGAAGTCTTCGAACAAAATTCAGTGTCGTCATTTCATTGGAAACTGCATCACGAGCGCGGTGTTTCTGCAAAACAAGTGAAAACAAGGGTTGTATTACCTATCACGATTTTGCTGGCATCTCACTCGAATGAATAGTATTTGATGCAGGGTATTGTAGTTGGAAATTGTCGAGTGGAAATTTATATACATTTATTAGTCTTAGACCTAACCAGGAACGGAAGCGAAAAGTGCAACTTTTGGTTCCTGGCTGGAATTGAACCTGCGTCCCTGCGATTCCGGTGCAGCGCTCTAACCAACGGGGGCCGGTTGTTCAAAGGTGGGTTAGCGGCGCTAACCCTGGGTTAAAATTTAACCTGCTGTTTTAGTTTGTGCATTTCTGCACGTCTGTTTATTTCAAAACTGCAGAGAAGTAAACTCCTATCGATGCAGACAAGATCTCTGAAGAAAAATTTCCAAATTTATAGACAAGCTGTCAGGAAGTTTGCTTTGAATTTTAGGTTAACCTAGGGTTAAGCTAACCCAGCTTTGAACAACCGCCCCCTGAGCTATACAGAAGCCAGTTGTCGAGCTCTAGCCACAAGTTATTAGATAGAGCTCCTGTACAACCTTCTCTCTGCAGTCTGCCATCTACCATACCCATCAGATTGTATTATCTATTATAAGCCTATACTTTAAAGAGATTTCCTCAAAAAGCGTGAGATTTAAAGACTTTGTGGCGAGACCGCGAAAAAGCATGAAAAATCGCGAATCCCACGGGTTTATTTTGCCAGATATACATAATATAGTAAAAGTTTCTTTCATGGTGTACAATACACTTGGCAATTTTCACAATGTCATGCAAATGCACATGGCAAGCCCCACGCACGCCTTAAAAAAGCCACCTAACGTTTTTTATACTACCCAAAACGACATCGCATACTGTTATTAAATAATATCAAGCATGGTTAGAATAATATTGCACGGTACAAGAGCTAATTCCATGAGCTCGCGATTTTTAAACGTATGTTTTTACTACCAAATTGTATCTCCAAAACAACAGAGAGATTCACTCAATCTCAAGTGGTTACTCAATATGCGCCTGCCTTTAAAAGAATTGCGCAGCACTTTTTACCTTCCCGACAATATAAGTTTTGAGTCCAAACAGTAAATTGAACACGACCCCTGCGGGTTGCGAGAATGGAGACGAAATCATTCACCATCGGATTGTGTCTTATTTTTGTTCAGTTTTCTTTTATCCAGGCCGTGTCAGTTAGAGAATTTTACCCATTCAGTCGTTTCACGGATAGAAAGCTACCGGCGAACGACGATGGCAGTTCGGGAGAGTTGACTTTGTCCGTGCCGTTTCCATTTTTCAAGTCGAAATACCAGCGTTTGTATGTAAGTAGATACGACACCCCTTTTGTATTTTGTATATTTTCTTGATATGTATATACAGTGTGGAGAGTGGATTTCATATAAACTATAGTGCCGATGGTCGTCCACCGGCAATTGAAGTATTGTATTTGATGAATGATGGACAATAATATAGGAACTGAAAAATGATGCAGTTTAATCTTGCTCCTATACTGCTGCAAGACAGTACACGATCGATCTATGAATCGATCTCAGACCACATTGCGTTCACAAGAGGCAAGAGCGCCTCGTCATGCGAGCTGGCTTAGATCCATCCAAGATCGATCTTCATTTTTTTCGACCATTCACATTGAGCTCGCTTGACTTTAGCCCAGCCTCATATCGACCTAAATGAGATCGATCGATCTCAAAGTGCAGTGTGAAAATGCCCTAACTCGTTACATTTGTAAAGCTGACCATATTATCACTATTTTACCTATTAATTGATGTAGCTATATGAAAGTTCGTGCGATGGTTTTTCACCACAAACCACAGGCATTTTTTTAGGCATGTTTGCAGCGTATAGTATTTTTAATTATTAGTATTATGAATATTCAACAAGAAATATTCAATTTATTACCCAATTATCAATAAATTGGTTCACAACCAGAAATGATTGTGTTCACAACCAGAAATGAATGAGAACTTCTTAAAAAACTTTTCATAGTTTTATCACCGCACACACCGGCTGCTTTGCCGTGTGTACACACAGAGCTGGCTCAATAACTACAGTAGATCGGGATACACAATATCATATAGTGTAGTTGAACTGAAGCTGATCATTCAAGCAGAACCATCTTTGACCCATGAAGCTGCATATTGCGCGCCCATGCACCCTACTTTATCATTTCGCTCTGTCTGATGCCAGACGGTTTTACAAGTTAAGGGGAGAGCGCTGGTGATGAATGGGGTAACGGCTCTTTTTCACGCATCGCAAAAATCAACTCGCAAGCCTGCTACGAATGCTTGCATCTCATTAAAGTAAACTGTCGAGCATTATGATTGGATGAAAGTATTTAAAAGGAAAGGAGGCTTTATGCTCCAACTTGGAGGAAGTTTAGCTAAACTGGCCAAGTTGCACGGGGCATGAATTTTCATTGCAATTTAGCGATTTAAAGTTAAAAAAGTATCAACAGTGAATCAAACTATACTTAATATAATCTAAGACTAAAGCCTCATCTTTCATCGTAACAGTCACTCGCAATCTTGCTGCTTTATTATCATTGCCATTGGAGAAGCAAACACTCCCAGCAAGCTTGCGACGGCTGATTTTTGCGACGAGTGGAGACGAGACTACGTACACCGGAGCGACATAATGCGGGCAGAATTTACGTGTGTTTACACTGCGCCGTTGCAGTTTGTTCACAAATTAAATTAGCACTTATGTAAATATTTCAAATAGAGCAAAGAAATTTAAACGAAAAGCATTCGAGGTCACTGTTTTGAGAGCTGAGATGCTTGGTTTGCAAGCAGTATAGGAAAACGTAACGGCGTTTGTGCTCACACGAAGCCGCCAAACGCTTCGTTTTCATCTCGCTCCGCAAAAGTGACGCTTTCAAACAATTTCGCTCTGGCGTGGCGTGAACGCGACGGCTATTTGTGACTTTTCTGCGCCGTTTTGTGAATGTAGTTTAGAGATTTGTGGGTCCAGCGTTGAATCTAAGGGCACTTTCCATTAACACGGCCAGACCGGTCAGAACGGTCAAAATGTTGAATGGAACACAAAACATTTGGACTTCGGACCTATCTGACCGGAAAATCTAGATAACATTAGAATGAGGTCCATTTTCGCTAGATATTTGAGAAACATAGACCAAATCTTTCCATTGATACAGAGAAAAGAATTCGGGTCTCAACGGTCAGGCCATTAAATGGAAAGCGCCCTAATAAAATTTTGCCTTTGGTTAGATTTCACGACATCCACAGTTTGATGGCCCGTTTACACTTGCAATTTTTGCTCCGATTTTTATGTGCGATTTTCTTTCGATAGATGTGAACGAGTGGATGAGTTATGGATGTTGAGATAAGGGTACACGTACTTCGAATATTCATCACTCATATACTCGTTCACATGCTTGAGTAGAAGAAATTCTCACTAAAAACGCAGCAAATATTGCAAATGTAAACAGGCCTCGATACTGGACAAATATCTTCTTCAGGAGAGTGAGTTTCTTCAGGAGAGTTAGTTTCTTCAGGAGAGTGAGTTTCTTCACGAGAGTGAGTTTCTTCAGGAGAGTTAGTTTCTTCAGGAGAGTGAGTTTCTTCAGGAGAGTTAGTTTCTTCAGGAGAGTGAGTTTCTTCAGGAGAGTTAGTTTCTTCAGGAGAGTGAGTTTCTTCAGGAGAGTTAGTTTCTTCAGGAGAGTGAGTTTCTTCAGGAGAGTTAGTTTCTTCAGGAGAGTGAGTTTCTTCACGAGAGTGAGTTTCTTCAGGAGAGTGAGTTTCTTCACGAGAGTGAGTTTCTTCAGGAGAGTTAGTTTCTTCAGGAGAGTGAGTTTCTTCAGGAGAGTTAGTTTCTTCAGGAGAGTGAGTTTCTTCAGGAGAGTGAGTACACGAAGTCGAATGCGAGCCAGTATATTTTGCTGACTTAGATTGTGGCTGTCGTGAAATTTGACCAAAGGGCAAAGGCAGCTTTTATACACTATCAAAGTTTCTGTGATCACAGTAGGAATTTTTCATAGGTAAATTTTAAGTTTTGAAGGATTTGTAAGAAATATTGGAGGGAACTGACTCGGTCTTCAACATGTACATATTTAGTCTGTTTAGCAGCCGGCTTGGTTTTTGACTTCGAGGCTGGCCGCATTGTGTAGTTAAGGTTTGAGTTCCCGTGAGATAAAAAGATATTACGAAATTTTTCAAGAGCAAAGCAGGGGTCGTGTAATACTGTGTTCTGTATTTTACGAAGCTTCTAGATCATGCACTCATTTTCATTTCCTTTGAGTATTCAGTATTCAGATAGATTTACAGCCACGGTCACAGAGTCCAGTATTAAATTTCGCTTCCTCTTCATTACTTCTCAATCGAGAAACATAAAACAAATTCGGACATGCGGTCTGTCATGTCAATCTCGTTAACTTGACCTTGCTAATATCAGCCCGCCAACGATGAGTTTATTGCATGGCAAAAGAATTGCAGAAGAGAAAGTTCGCTTTTTTTCTGCAAACTTTGGGCCATGTTAAAGAATGTGTCCTAACTTGCTTAATTCCGATACATCAAGACACTGATTTAGTGTAAATTTTTACATCATTTTTGTGTTAGGAAACACCAAATATAATGGTCAATCGTTCTATATGTACACCCAATAAGGGTTCTAGGTGTTTCAATACACCTTTTGGATGTAAATTTGGTGTTTCCCTAACTCAAAAATGGTTTTGTCATTTACACTAAATCAATTTCTGCAGGGCTGAAACGCTTGCACCATTTTGGTGTTGTAGCCACACCCAAAAGTTCAGTGGAAACCTACACCAAAGACCGGTTTACACAATCAAAGTTTCTGTGATCACAGTAGGAATTTTGCATGGGTATTAAATTCTAAGTTTTGAAGGTTTGGAAGAAATTTTTGAAGGAACTGACTCCGTGATTAACATTGAGTCAGTTCATTCAAACATTTCTTACAAATCCTTCAAAAGAATCAAAACTTTCTGCGATCACCTACTGTGATCACAGAAACTTTGATAGTGTATAGCACACCAGCTAAGATAGTGTATAGTACACATAAGCTAACACTATCCATGTTGAATAGCTCTTTCAGTTCTGAACAGTAATCTTATATACGTATTCATATTTCTTAAGGTGAACACAAACGGCGTTATATCATTCAAAGACAGCGTTGAGGAATTCATTCCAGTCACGTTTCCAACGGCAAACGACCAGCCAATGATAGCCCCGTATTGGGCTGACGTCGATACACGTAATGGAGGCGAAGTGTTTTACCGTCAGTCGGCCAGTGTTGAACTGTTTCAACGTGCGACGAATGATGTGAAGAGATATTTTGCCAGTCAGTTTCCGTCATTTCAAGCCTCGTGGGTGTTCATAGCCACTTGGCAGAATGTTTCACGGTTCAGAAGAGCTAGATCGTTATTGAGTAATATTGCTAATCCCATGGTTAGTGCACACTGAAGTCTATAGGCTTGTCACAAATCCATTTCTTTAATTCTTCTTCTCTCCCCCCTTCCTTTGTTGTATTTATGACCTTTCTCTCCAATTGTGAGTTTTCTTGCAAGGAACAATATTTTCAGAAAGGGTTGCATGGCTAGGAAACATTGTTTGCTAGCCATGTTTCCCGAAGGTGGGCAAACCAGGAAACATTGTTTGCCAGCCATGTTTCCCGAAGGTGAACAAACCAGGAACCATTGTTTCCTGGCTATGTTTCCCGAAGGTGAACAAACCAGGAAACATTGTTTCCTAGGAAACATTGTTTCCCACCTTCAGGAAACATGGCTAAGAAACAGTGTGTCCTGTCTTGCCCACCTTCGGGAGACATGGCTGTCGGGCTGTAGGTAACAGTGCTTCCACATCATTGTTTCCTAAGTTCAGGGCTAAACGCTCCGCAGCCATATGACCAGCAACTAAGTTTGTTTAAATGTATAATTTTGTTTCAGAGAAATACATTTCAAGTCGTGCTCATCACAAATGGACGTCATTCATTTGCAATATTTTATTACGAGAAAATTGAATGGACGACAGGGGATGCAAGCAAGAGTATCTATGGCGGCATACCTGCACAGGTAGTATTGAGAGATTTCAGCAGTGGCGGACACTGCAAAATATTGGGAGGGCGGATTTAGGTCACAAACGTATTACTGCCCTCTTGTTGCTGCAAATTCCCGTCATCACTATTTTTGACGTCAATTTAATTGCTATTTGCTTAGTTACAAGGATAATTATAGATTTCCATGGTTGGGGCTGGCAGAGGCATCCCCCTCCCCTGTGAGGGATTTTTGGCCGTAGAGGCACCCTTAGTTTGTTGAACTACTCCATAATTCAACTTACCCATGAACTACTTAATTACTTACTTGGTTAATCAGCATTCTTTCAAGGACAATATTCTTTAAAGGCAAATGAAAACAAAAGAAAAAGATTTGTGCAAAGAGGGAACCCCCCTCCCCCCCCTCCCTCCCTCAATGGTCCACTGCTTAGGGTATATCGCTTTAGGATGCCTACATAAGCCAGTAACCTCGTGAAAAAGACCTTACACTAACCTTTCGACGAAGGGACTCGAGAGTGGTAACTAAGGTAGTTAGAAACTCAACCACGGCAGATTACATAAGCAAAGGGTAACTATGGAAACATATTTGGCTATATTTTGTGATAGCCGACCACGCAGAGGGTATATTTGGATGGCCCACTTGAGGAGAGGCGGTTTTAGTGGCTTGCTCCAAGAGTATACTAGTACTCTATTCTCAGAGTATTTCTAGCATATTTCTCAGAGTAATCTGCATTTAGCTTAATATTAATCCGTTGTGAACACTTCCAATGGATAAGAGCTATACTCTGGTGTATTCCCTTGTAAGGGCGAGCTAAGAATACAATCTCTACAGAACTTAACTTCGGTCCTAAAAGTATAATTTTTTAGGGTCGGTTGCTTAGTTACTTATTTAAACGTTATAAATGGCCATGATGCATTTGCTGAATTAGTGTAATGGATCATGAATCTCACGATTCGATGAGTGTATACTTTGTTTCCATTAGGCTGGTTTCAATTTCGGAGATGGCACAAGATACTACAGTGTGCAAGGTTCTCAGACAGACCTGATCAGACAGTTGCCTGCACTCTCTAATGTTAACGTCCCAGGAATGTTTGTGTTTCGCGTCGACGAGGCTGAAATTACAAACGGAGGCTGTAATTCCGCAGGTCAGAATGGCGTATAGCTCTATATCATGTCTACTTAAATCTTTGCCTAGAGTTTCTACACGGCTAAAAACGCACAGGTTGTTCCAAGTTGATATCGACAGGCGTGAACAATGTTGTGCGGCCAACTATGAACAAGTTGTCAACCATGTTGTTCCAAGTTGTTACAGTTGAACAATGCTGTAACAACATGTTGACAATACTGTTCATAGTGGGCCTCACAACCTTGTTCACGCCTGTTGATATCAACCTGGAACAAGTTGTCAATTTTCACACGTGTAGTGAAGACCTGCTATCCCTTGTTGACAATGCTGGAAAATCTTAACAAAATATCTGCGCAGGAAATTTTCTCACATCTTGCAGGAATTTTATGTACAGGAATGCCATATAATTTTTATGGAAAAAATACTAAAAATTCCAAAAGCATTTTGTAAGACGAGATTGATGTTTATCGCAATATGCGGCACGATAGTTCTCTGAAATCTACATATGCATGATGTTTTATATTTGACTTACAGAGGAAATTTTTATTTTTGGATTTTGTTGCCAGGAAGAGAAATATGTTTTATAGATCTGCTTGTTGGTCTCAGTGTCTGGAGTACCAAGGGAAAAAGCTAAACTTTTCAAAATATTTTTCTGCACAGTCGAAAAGTCTAGACGAAAACCTGTTGTATTTGCTCACATGCGAACAGCAGACATCTTTTTATTGCACCGCGACATTACCGTGTGAGGACTCTCCAACTTACATGAAAATTGTCTGTAAAGTAGACAATATAGAGACAGTTAAATATCAAAGACGCGTCGGTGAGAGTTATATTGACAGTGTCACGTATCGCCCACTGTTTTTTTTAATTCTTGCATATAAATAGTATATTGAGAGATGTAATCTAATTTGCTTGCTCATGCTATCGGTCTGCATATACGTACAAGCGCGCAAGTTGTTTACAGAGTTGCTAACAAATTGTAACAAGGTTGTTGTCAGGTCGATAATATAGAGGTTCAGATTGAGTTCCATACCGCTACAATTAAGGGACCATCAACCAATCAGATGCGTTTGATACTGTACATTCGATTGACCAATCACATGCGTACTGAGCCAGGTAGTGGTAGCGGAAGTGGAACTCAAATCTGAACCTCTATATTAAGATGTGTTCGCACTGCTTGTTCCCAGTTGTTGGGACAAGTCTGGAACAGGTTGTTATCACCTTGTTACAAGGTTGATGATGGGAACAGACTGGTACAAGTTGTTCCAATAACGATCTAGGCCCGTTCAAACGAGTCCAACATCGTTGGATGATGTTGGATAATGATGGATGAAAATATATGTTAAACAAAGTCAAACCCAATCCAACATCAGCGAACATTACCCAAGATTGTGATGAAACAAGGCCAACAATGTGGCATCCAACAATGATGATGTTGGACCAATATGTTGGCCTCGTTTGAACGAGCCTTACTGTCGTTCCAATTGAAGTGTTGCTCAAATATTGGTTCAATACATTATCTCGGGCTGACCAATTCATTTCATCAAGTTCCTCGAGATATTCATACACTTTCTAGTATAATTGTAAACTTCCTGTTGAATAGTTTGAATGCACCAATTACCTTTTGTTGTTTGTGCAACTAACCAATCATAAATAGAAAAGAAGTGACCAGAAATTATCAAATACTTGGAATTGGCTCTTTCACAGGAAGTGTATGAATATCTCGAGGAACTTGATCAAATGAATTGGTCAGCCCGAGGTAATGTATTGAATCAATATTTGAGCAACACTTCAATTGGAACGACAGTAATGATACCAGTGAGCTCCATATATACTGGAGCAACGACTTCAGTCATTCGGCCTATGAGAAAAGTAAAGTCAAGATGGCGGCCATTGACGTCCAATAGCTATGAAGGTCGAAAACAGCTTTTATTATATACCATTTTCTCCAGCTAAATCCAGTTTTTTTCTAACGGACTGTATCGCTAATTAGGTTTTCAGTTCATAAAATCACAATATTAGTCTTCAAATCGAAGTCAAAATACGAAATGTCGGCACACTCCTTGTCAAAATGGTGGAAATTGAAGAAGCTATTGGACGCCAGTTCCAGTCCCTTTTGTCTGCGCGGTTAACACGAAACTGGCTTATATATATATTTTGAACGCATCTTGTTGACAAGTTGTGAGATTTTCACGTGTGTATACAGGGTCAAACATTTCTGACGTCGATCAGTACCCGCTGACCTGTACCACTTACTAAAACTGGTCAATATTTTTCCAGGTGGTTTAACTCTCGTACCTCGAAGTGGTTTAGTTCTGGGCGGTACACTGGTGGAAATCTCTGGCCCGTGTTTTAATGAAACTTCAGATGCTGTGGTGTGTCGTTTTAATGGCAACATTTTAGCTGATGGCAATGTCGTCGATAGATATAAGGCGTTTTGTGTTACCCCACATCTACGTGACATTGGCAGAATGTCCTTGGAAATGTCGTTGGATGATGGCAAGACTTTCAATTTCTCATCGCAATTTACATCGGGTTAGTTTGTGTTTTGTATTTACATCTATTTACTTTTCATAGATTGGGCTTTTGCGTAACACATCGCGTAACAATTATAGTACCATCTGGTCTTCCACAGTCCCGCAAATTTGCGTCAAATAAAGGCAGGCGTTTGCAGGTTGGAAGAATATGACGCAAAGGCCCATGGGAATGCTCTGACTAATATGCATCCCTGTCATTCAACATGGGATGAGCGACTTGCGACGGACCAGACCATCCAGTCGCGATCCAGTGATTGGAATGTCCCATTATTGTCTTTTCATTGTGTTGGAAATCCCACTGTTCTCCATGCATCCAGTCAAGATCCAGTGATTGGAATGTTCCATTGTCTTTTCATTGTGTTGAAAATCCCACTGTTCTCCATGCATCCAGTCAAGATCCAGTGATTGGAATGTTCCATTGTCTTTTCATTGTGTTGAAAATTCCATTCTTCTCCATGCATCCAGACATATACGATCCAGTGATTGGAATGTTCCATTGTCTTTTCATTGTGTTGAAAATTCCACTGTTCTCCATGCCACTCAGTCGCGATCCAGTGAATAGAATGTATCCCTGCCTTTTCATTGTTTTAAAAATCCCACTGTTCTCCATGTCATCCGTTTGGTCTTTGTTTTGACGTTTATGCAGAAGATTTGTTGGTTTGTTTGGGCAAGTCTTACTCATCAATTGTATGATTGACTATAGCTCGTTGGCTATTTGGTTGTGCAAATGTTTATTGTTTACTGAGTACTCATAGCTGAGCGGATGTCTCAAAAGGTTATTGCCCAATTGATAGGGGATCCGAGGTACCTACGATTTTAAACGTCCTTATCCGGTTATCCGAGAAGACGCAAAAGTCTAACTTTACTGATGTCAATGTAAAGGTAATTTGCCACCCTAAAAGTTTATCAGTAGTTTTAGAACTAGTGTTCAGTGTGACCTTCTTATAACAAAGTTACTTGTTCTTCAAACAGTTGCCCTTGGCAGACATGGCCCTGGCATCTCAGGCTTAATGTCTAAAGACTGGACGAGCCAACTTGAGCCACTCTTCATAGCCTGGAACCCACATGACATACGAGCACGACAGTTGGTGAATGTTGAAATAGCGAAATTTGATTGGGAAACATTGCAGTTACTGGAAAATAAGACTGTCGTGAAAGCAAATATCCCCAACTTTGGTTTTGAACTTCTTAATAATGTGGTAGAGACTGCGTATCATATGTAAGTATCTGTTGGGGCAAATAATGGCTATAATACAATTCTAGACCGGAGGTTAAGCGGACACTCGCTGACATTTGTCATGCGGACCGTGGACTCGCCTAGTGCAAGTCTTGTCGGGAAAATGAAAAAATTAAGTAATAAGAGTTTGGGTTGGGAGTTAGCGTCAGTCGGTTGGGGTTATCTCCGCCAAAACGTGTACTTTACGTGGACACTCAGTGAGACACTGGTGTCTGTTAAACTGCAGTTATACCCAAAGAGCTATTCATTACCAAAAGATGTTTTGTTATCTTCGTTTTGTTGTTAGCTTCCCTTCAAAATGCAATAGAGTACAGGAGACTATACAGTATAAATACAGTTCAGCACATTGTAATAATTCACCATGACCGTGAAAAAGCTTGTATATCTGTTGCAAAATCTTGCTTCATTCATTCTCTTAGTTCATTTTCCACATCAAATATCATTCGTCTTTTTTAAAAAAAAACTATTAAAAAATACGAACATTTTCATCAAGATGAATCACAATGCTATATACACAATTCGCGTCTGTGTTATATAAGATAAACAATCACTCGCCTGCATTCCTCAATTCGTGTGTATATCTTTTATACAATGCTGTATTTATTACGTACAGTGAAATGCATTTCAGAAAGTACAATTTTCACCGTGTATCTCTACAGCCTAAAGCCCCATTCAATTTCATCCAATGTTGCACAATATTGGATGAACATTTTAAACAAAGATTTTAACACAATGAAAATGTTCATCCAATATTGTGCAACATTGGATGAATTGAATGGGGCTTTAGGTACATTTTACTGTACGTAATAAATACAACATTGTGTGGAATATACAATGGATCCAACATCTTCTTCAACTTTGACTTCATATGATCTTTTGAACTTCATTTGATCTTTTGACTTCATTTGAACTTTGAACTTTGATGTTGGATCCAACATCATCTTGAACTGCCTGTGTCAGTCTATAGGTATAGTGCCAATATATAGTCTCCTTGCAGAGCTGCAAATAAATATTTGACTTGACAGGACATTTGTCCGATCACTTTTAATTTTGGTCGGACATAACTTGAATTTGGTCGGACAAAAACCAACATCACTAAATTTGGTCGGACATTTATACGTCACAAGATATATATAAGTCACGAGACAAGTATGTATAGCCATTCCGGCGCAACGTTAAGTAAAATGCTAGAATGCCTTATTGCAAAATGCAAATTGAGTGAATTTGCAATCGGATTTTGTCACAGCAAAAAAATGTATGTGACAATTTTTTTTTGTGATCTGACCAATGTCCGATCAAAATTACTTTTGCTCGGACATTTGCCAAATTTAGTCGGACATTGTCCGATGTCCGACAGTAATTTGCAGCCCTGCCTTGTGTTTGTCAGGTAGTTGCTTGCCTATCATTCCGAAGCTTTCGTATTACCCAGGGACATATTGTTCAAACGAGGCTGACAATGTCGTATCCAACAATGTTGACTGATGTTGGACCAACATGTTGGACTCGTATAAACGAATCTTAATGAGTATGAGTAGGAAAAACGTTTTAAACCTTTCAACATTACAAAAAATGCTGTTATCAACAGGTGCCCTACATTCCTCATTGATTCCTTGATGGTGTTTTAAACTGTTGTTAGTTGTCAGTTTAGTCGTTTTGTAATTGTGTTGTTCTACTTAGACTGTTTCGTTAATCAATTATTTGAACGTAATTTCTTTGTAAATATTAAGGGATCACCATAATTGGGGGAACCTGTGGCGAACTCCCTGGCACTCAACATTGTTGTATTTTTAGGTAGTTGCCGAATCTTATTAAAACATTAAAACATTCCCATAAATTAGTAGTATATATATATACAAAGTTGGAATACTAATATAAAAAGAACAGAAGATCTAAAATTATATTTGCAAATTAAATTTACACTAAAGAATTCATGAAAGTCATTAGTTAAGTGTCAGTAGCTTCTGAGAGTTTATTAAAAACGACGCAGCCGCCAGCCGTTATGGTAAAGCGACTTTTTTGCAGCTTCCAATTTCACTCTAGGCACATACAATTCATTTTGGTCTTGTACGCCGTGACATCCTATCACAGTTAAATTTAAAATAGTGTATCAAAAATTGGGGTACGTTGCCCTTTAAGCATTTGTTAACTAGTTTAAAGGTCGAAACTAATTCGTCCTTTTCTCGTAGGCCACCCATCACTGAAAATAACGCGGAACGATACGTCTCACCGTTGTCAATTGTAACAATCAGCGCTCCGACACCAGCTCGTGGGCTTCCTCCACGAGTCTACAGTGAACCATTTTTAGCTATCCCAGTTAATGTAAACATAACCAACGAAGTCAAAGAAGCTTTTGATGATCTTGGAATCCCTCAGAGGTGCAAAGATTGGTTTGGAGATGATGATTTTGATGTGAGAAGTATTTTAGGTAAGCTGTTTTGTTTCTGTACGAATTTACGATTTCTTGGTTGTGACTTAAACCACCCACAACTTTATTTCTACTGAATAGCTCTATCAGTTTTAATATGTTCTCCCTATCTAGTGACCAGGGCTTTCAAAATAAGCTGGGGGCCGCCGGAGCTCCGGCAGGTGCTACGAGATTTACCGCCGGTTACTTTGTTTAGTACTTGAAGTATCAATTCTGCTCTCCTTTTTCCACTCTAAGCATTCAAACAAAGTTATTTTTCCTCAACCTGGTCTACTTTATAGCCTGGTTACTTTCGAAAACGACGTACCATTTCGTAAAACCGATTTAGTTATTTCCATCTTGAATCTTGAAGTTACCTTGTTGAAGAATGAATGTAGTGATACATTATAATTTGGTTACAGAGCTCAGTTGTGTTGCTATCTAATCAATATACTCCAGTTAATTTGAATGACTTTTTGACTCCCTAGACCGCCTCCTCCCAACAGCCGCCTACTTTATTAAAACAGACACCTACTCAGAATAATTCTGGAAGCCCTGCTAGTCAAGTAAGGGTCACTCATTCTTGACCCACCGTTACTGCAGGAGGAAACCTGGTAACTTTATTTATACTGGATAGCTTTATTAGTTCTAAACTTGTCTCCCCTGTGATCCATGGCCAGTATTAAAGGTCCGGTCATCCATTATGGGTCCAGTAATACTACAGAAGGAAACCTGAACTGATCACTTAGTCATCTGCATTTTCCCCACAGTTTGCAAAACCATAAACCAGGGGTAGCAACGGGGAGAGGATGGATACGTTCCAGGCCCCCAGGTTTTCCTCAGGTTTAAATTTGTAATTCTTTCAAAACTGGGGAGAATCTGGGGGGGGGGGCGTAACGTCTTAATGCTTTTGTCTATGACGTAAGATATACCAAATCTGTGGCTTTCAGATTATCATAAAACGTGTCTAAAATGCATGAGATAGCGTTTCGCAGACCCTAAAAATAGAAACATTTTCTGTGGGACCATGTCCCATCAGATTAAGTCCCACGATTAGATCCCCACACCCAATCGTTTGTGGCTGACTACGCCCCTGCCATAAACAGTTTTTCTTTTCCTCTTTCTCTTATAAGGTTCTATCTTGTCCATCTTTTCTCTACAACAGTTCTTAATTGATCTAGTGTAACATCTTTAAACCTCGCCACAGTTCCTTGATACGCGCTTTCGTTGCTTTTAGTTAACAATATTTATATTCGTGGGTGTGCACGTCATGGTAACTGTGTATATTTCACGTTCAGATGAATTGATTGGGTGTCCAAAAAGTCTTGAACAAGCGGAAGCAGACACTGGAAGGTTTATGTCGGATGATTATTGCAAACCTCCCAGGACCGGTGCGTGTCTGGTCTATCACAATGGTTCATATCATTGCTTTCGTTCTGTTTTTCCAAGGTAATAACAGTGGTGTAACTTTACTTTTTTGCCCACTTGCCCAAGGCAAGTTAAAATTAGTTGCCCTGAATAAAATTCACTGTTCGGGTACTTAGGTAGGGGGTATAAGTTAAATTAATGTTATACTTCCTAACTGCCTCAGATCTAGCTTTGGCCCTCAAAATACAAAATTTGAATCAAGTACATGCATGCACTATAAAAAATTTATCCGACAATGAAATAAACTTTTTGTGGCAAGGCAACTTGCCCAATCGGGCAAGCAAGATAAAACGTTTACTTGCCCGTCATGATATTCACTTGTCCCGGGCAAGTGTTAAGTTACACCTCTGAATAATGTGTTTCTCATCGCAAACTTCCAAATCAATTTTATTCCCCACGTTTGTCTGTAACGTGCGTAGGTTCACCGTACGCAAAGAGGTTCAGTTTTCAGACCATCCTTGAAATGGCATGCGATCGCACGTCCACACCTTGCCAAACGTCCCAGCTTATCAAGCCTCGATTAAGCTGCAATACAAAATAACTTTTTAAAGTATTCTAAATAAATTGTTTGCTTGTCATTTCATTTTCTGTCGGTAACTTCCGAGTGTCTCCAAAAAAACTGGACATTGTTTGATTTCATGTAACGTAAAAGCTATAAAAGCTATCGCAATGAAATAAAGATCATTGCATTCAAAAAGACTTAGATTTTGATGTACTATTTAAAAAACGAGCAGGAGTGTTTTATTAGGTTTAAAGCCACGAGCGCGTAGCGCGAGTGGCTTTAGACCTAATAAAATACGACCTGCGAGTTTTTTAAATGGCTTCAAAAACGTTTGCAAGTTGCATAATAAGTCAAATCTTTATATAAAAATCTTTATATAAAAATCTTTATATAAAAATCTTTATATAAAAATCTTAGCTGGTATAAAGACGTATGCACGTGACTAATTTCTTACTCAAGATTGGATAATTGCTTCATGAATTATTAATGAGTTTTTGAAATATACATGTAACACTTGAATTTACATGCAATATTGAGCGAGATACAATTTAAAAACAGTTAAAGTGATAATTTAAAAACAAGCAAGCTACAATCAATGTTAGCGATCTAATTCTACAAGTACGGCCATGACCTTTACAAGCACACCGCTGGAACGAAACTATTTTTGAATCTATCAGTTCTACATTTAAAATGGCTAAAATGACAACAAGCCCAAGGAGTGTGATTTGTTGCACCCCTACCCTTTCCTTCTTGAGATGGCCCAGTTTTGTGGTTCAGATTGGCTGACATGCTGATTAACAACTATTTTCTCCTCACAGTCGAAACGGAGCAGGTCAACAATGTTGCTATACGAAACAAGGCCGACTTGTGGTTGGACCTTCTGGGGGAGGCACAGTAGACAGATATCATGCTGGGAGTTCGCAATTTTCCACATTGAAACATCTTAAAGACGACATTTATCCATGGTATCTCTGCTGTAGACTCAGTAAGGCCTGTGGTCTGTACTACGGTAGTAGACCCTCGGAGAATGGTACCCGATACACTCCACTACAAATTGGTAAGTACTATAAATGAGACCAAACTAAAAAGTATTGTTGCTGAAACCCAGGCATCTTTCCCAAAGCTAGTAAAACCAGGAAACAATTTTTAGAAAAACGCCTTGATAGTGGGGATGTGTTGTGATGACAAGACAGTGGAATAATATTCCGAGCAATGGACCATTTGCATTATAGACTAAATTTTGATCTCAACAAGTCTAGACAAAAATTTCATCACAGCTTGAAAGAGCATCACAAAATTAGTAATATTCCAAAGTTCCGTTGCGAAGTGTTGTAAAGTGCGGATAATATAGCCTTGCGAAGTTTGCCGTTTTTCAGTCATTTTCTATTACAAACGGGAAATTGACAGCCCCAAAGGGTATTGGCTGTCAATTTCCCCCGCGCAATGCAAAATGACTGAAAAACGGCAAACTTTGCAAGGCTATGTATTATCCGCATTTTACAACATTTCACAACGAAACTTTGGAATATTACTAATTTTGTGATGCTTTTTCAAGCTGTGATGAAATTTTTGTCTAGACTTGTTTAGATCAAAATTTATCTAAACAAGTCTAGACAAAAATTTCATCACAGCTTGAAAGAGCATCACAAAATTAGTAATATTCCAAAGTTTCGTTGCGAAGAGTTGTAAAATGCGGATAATATAGCCTTGCGAAGTTTGCCGTTTTTCAGTCATTTTCTATTACAAACGGGAAATTGACAGCCCCAAAGGGTATTGGCTGTCAATTTCCCCCGCGCAATGCAAAATGACTGAAAAACGGCAAACTTTGCAAGGCTATGTATTATCCGCATTTTACAACATTTCACAACGAAACTTTGGAATATTACTAATTTTGTGATGCTCTTTCAAGCTGTGATGAAATTTTTGTCTAGACTTGTTTAGATCAAAATTTAGTCTATAATGCAAATGATCCATTGCATCGTGACACGAAGCACCATTGTTGTCCTACTCGCCTAAACATCTCACAGCTTGTCAACAAATTGTGTTCGGCTGTTCGCACTGCTTGTTCTCAGTCTGGAACAAGTTGTTATCATCTTGTAACAAGGTTGATAAGCTAGCTAACTGACTCGCAACAAGTTGTTCCAACAAGTCTGATATCGTCTGCACGTAACAAGTTGTTAATACGTTGATGACAACAAGCTCGTAGCAACTGTGACGAACAGTATTGGTCCCGTATTGGTCTTGTTGGAACAACTTGTGGCAAGCCTTGTTACCATCATCAACCTTGTAACAAGGTGATAAATACTGATAACAACTTGTTCCAGGCTTGTCACATCGGCTTGACAACAACAACAACAACAACAACAACAACAACAACAACAACAACAACAACAACAACAACAACAACAACAACAACAACAACAACAACAACAACAATTTATTTCGCACCACCAAGTAAAATAACATTACATGATTTTTTTAAAAATATATAGATATTATGGCACAGGTCACCAGTAATAGTTCAGACTAAACCAGCCTAGTGACCTTTTATAAAATAAATGAAATAATGATTTTTACATCATTTGGTATAATTATAAAAGTATATTCATGAATACTTGACAACAACCTTATGAATACCTGACATCAACCTTCATGAATACCTGACATCAACCTTATGATTCATGAATACCTGACAACAACCTTATTGCAACCTGTTTTTAGATATGTAACAACTTGCGCGTTTTTACATGTGTAAGTGTTATTCAAAGGGTTCAATTCAATAATAAATTTCAAATCTTTGTATTATCCTCCTAGCTACAACGTTTGGAGATCCACATTTGGTCACTCTCGATGGCTTCTCGTACACGTTCAACGGTCATGGCGAGTACACGATGTTGAATATCGAAGAAACTGGATTTAAATTTCAAGCACGAATGCATCCATTGAAGACGGAGGGGGGAGATTCACGTGGAACATTTTTAATGGCGTTTGTTCTTCAAGATGATGACAGCGACATGGTCCAGGTTAGTACGAGGTTGTGGTTGTGTACAGGACTCGTCAAGTTCCTTCCATCAACCTACACACGTAAAAACGCACAAGTTGTAACGAACCTGCAGCAGACTTGTAGCAATGCTGTTCCAACAACTTCTCAACGGGATGTGTTCGCACTGCTTGTTCCCAGCTTGTTGACAACTTGTTACAAGGTTGCTGAACTCAACAGGCTTGTTTGTACAAGCTGTTCCAACGAGTAGTTATCGTCCTGCAATTCAACAATTTGTGTCAACAAATTGTGAGTGACAACCTTGTAGCAACTTGATAGCATAACAGTATTGTTACAACTTGTTGACGACAAGCTTACTACAAGCCTGTTTCGAACGCATCTTGTTGACAAGTTGTGATATTTTTACGTGTTTAGGATCGTTCAGTGTATTAAAACGTTCAGGAGAAAAATCTGTAGGTTTTGAAAAAAGAACGAAGCAGTTTGAGTGATACGCCTGTGTGTCCTGTACACATGAAGTATGTACCGTGAAGAACAGAAACGGTTCTTTGAGAGTGAATCCTCTATTAAGCTGGCCTCTTTGTATATTTAAGGCACGTTTAAGGGGGGAATTTATTGGGGACAGGGGCTTTAATTAAGGGGAGGGGCTTAATAGAGAGATCTAACCCTGTGTTTCTTTGTTGTGAAGGGGACGGGAATTTAATGTAGAAGGAGCTTAATAAGTTCTATAAAAGGGGGGGGGGGGCTTAGTGGAGAGTGGAGGTTATTTGTAAGGCGGATTTGTGGAGGATATACCCTTACTCGTATTCTAGCTGCCCGAAGGGCTCTGTGTTTCCTTAACTGTGAGGTTTCGATGTATGGGTAATATTCTAATTAACTAATGTCTTGGTTACCTAACTCGGACGTTTGCTTGCTTCACATTGTTGTTGGCAGACATGAATTTTAAAAATTATGTTGATTATTCAGTGAAATATTACATAAAAACAGGTATGATTTTTGTTTAGGTGGAGCTCAACTCTCTGAGAATTGTCGACATCTACGTCAATGGCGAAAAGGAATCTTTCGAGCCTGAGACCTCACTCATGGAGTTTACAAACTTGATATTAATGAAACAGAACAATTCAGCTCTTCAGATTATATTTAGATCTGGTATAAGTGTAAGCGTGACTCAGAATGATATTTCACTGTCATTTGAAATGTTATTACCAGAGTTTTTCAAAGGTTAGTGCCAGTGTTTTCAAATCTCAAGATGGTATGCTGGGTGGTTAACCTTTTGCAGGTCTTCCTGGTTAGGTCTAAAATTGTCTATAGCATAGACCGATTTTGTGGGGAGGGGGGGGGGTGCTACCCCCAATATGCTATAACCCCCAAACAAAATGTCCACCCTCCAAAAATGCCCCCCCCCCCCCCAATATTTGGCATAATAAAAAATAATTAAATAGTACACTCCAACGTGCAGAGTGTTGATGATACAAAATAAATGTAGGAGTACACTCAAATAGAAAAAGACTGAGACTAATCGCTCCTCGCTTGCATTCACTGGTTTATTGGAGCAATTGTAAAGTTTTGAAACTCTCTTATCTCCCCTGAATAGAGTTGCAGTGCCTTTTCATGCAAATAGCTTGCTTGCAAGGAACGTTTGGAATTTTTACGAACATTATTTTTAGTTTTTAATTCTTTTGGGAAATAGACTTGCCTAGATTTAATCTTTACCCCCCAAATATTATTTACATCGGAGTTGCATCAAAATGTACTCGGATTCAAACGACACAATGTCAATGACTTTATAAAGTAAAAGCATATTGTGTATTCATATTGACCTATTGGGTTTACACTTTTACAGGTTCATTTAACTTTAACTCTCTCAAGTCTCAACAGACAATCGGACATGCCAAATCCATTGATATGACAACTTCAAAAAACTTTTTTTCGTTTTTTTTCTTCAAATTTTTCCAGGGGATACTTTATTTTCTGCTTTCTAGACTCCTCCTCTCTAGACTCCCCCTCGCGGCTCTAGTGCTCCACCCCTAGAATATAGACCTTACTGGGGTTTGGTGACACTTTGTGTTGCTTCAGTCACCTGCTCACAGCTCACCCCCCTAAAATTTCTGGCACCACCCCAGTAAAAATATGAAAATCCGCCTATGGTATATAGTCTTTCACTCTAAATCCACAAAAACCCTTCCAATCCTTCTTTACCCTGTTCCTAACCCTAACCGTTTATATCTTAATTCCTCATGTGACAAAGGTTGTTGATGGTTAGTGTCAGTGTTTCAAGTGTCATTATGCTGTCATTTCTGGGGTCAATTTTCATGTTAACAACCTCAATCTATATACAATTATCTGCATGGTGCTTATCCTTAACCTTAATCCCTCTGACATAATTGTTTGAGAAGGACAGGTGACAGATGTGGTTAGCGCACTGTCCCTCACTTCTGAGTTAATCCTACTAGGTCGAGAGTAGGGGATTTACCAAGGCTGGGTAACTAACCTCCCTGTACAGTACTTGAAAAACTCGTGTAAGTAAAGTTTGGTTGGTTCTCTCCTCTTCTTCGAGGGTTTTTTCCGGGTCGTCCGGTTTTATCTCCCTTACCAAAAACTTACCCTTTGTTGTCTATAGCACTTGTGCCATGGCTTCTGGTTCAAGTGAGATGAACAACCACCCCTGTGTGAATGACATAAAATAAAATAACTCAATTTGCAACATGTCCTCATTTGGACAGAATGACAAAAACGTTGATTACATTTTAGGCAAGACAAAAGGTTTACTTGGACTCTGGGATGATGATGAAAAGAATGACTTTACATTACCAAATGGCAAACTACTTGATATCAATTCAAAGTCTTCGATAATCCACTGGCAGTTTGGACAAAAATGTAAGTAAAGCTCTCGCATTCAGAAACAATCTTTAGTTACAGTATTATGATAGTCACGATAAATAGTCACGATTATCTGATAGCTAAGGTATGTTTATAGACGGTCTGTGCTAGCGTAGGTATTATTATTATTATTATTATTATTTAACCATTATTCGCCGAAGGCGAGGTGATTATCGGTGAATAAAAACCGAGACGAAGTCGAGGTTTTTATTCACGATAATCACCGAGCCTGAGGTGAATAATTGTTTTAGTATAATTTCATAGGTGATTATTTGGAAAAAAATAAAAAATGCACATTTGTTCGTCTTTTAATTGACAAAACGGCTTCGGTCGCCATTTTGAAAATCGCTTAGGTGATTATCGCGTAATAATCACCTCGACGGTAACCAATCAGCGTGGAGAATTTTCAATAATCACCTATGTAATTATACTAATATTATTTAATCTTCTTTAAAAACAACGGTAGCCCTTCAGCGCAGATAAGAGCTGTTTTCCAAGGGGCCGTTGCACAATACATATTTACAAAAAAAGTTGGGTTAATAATTACAATTAGTATAACTACATAGGTGATTATTGAAAATTCTCCACGCTGATTGGTTGCCGTTGAGGTGATTATTACGCGATAATCACCTAAGCGATTTTCAAAATGGCGGCCGAAGCCGTTTTGTCAATTAAAAGACGAATAAATGTGCATTTAAAATATTTTTTTCCAAATAATCACCCATGAAATTATACTAAAACAATTATTCACCTCAGGCTCGGTGATTATCGTGAATAAAAACCTCGACTTCGTCTCGGTTTTTATTCACCGATAATCACCTTGCCTTCGGCGAATAATTGTTAATTAGTATATAGTATATAGTTACAAATTACACATTACACATTTACACATTTACACATTACACATTACATATTACACAGTACACCACATAATATGACTTAAGTATTATGCTGAGGTCTGTCCCGAAGCAAGGTTTTAAATGCGTTTAATGACAAGCAATTGCTTTTCAGGTAGCGACAATAACACCAAAAAGGTGCACAAGTAAAACGTCGACTTTTCGAGCGAGGCCCTGCGAGGGTAGCCTCCTCCGCAGGCGTCTCGTGGTACTTACTTCGAACAGTGAACTATATACAGTCCTGTTATATAGTTCAGTGACTTAGTTCTCTGCATAGATAACCCAATCAGAAAAACATCAGTTATTAGAATAACTAAATTATATAAGTTCTCGACGAGGCTGCTGCGAGGACCCTTCGTCGGGAAGGCCTTTGTATTTTTCAGGTATATAGTTGAATCCTGCAGTCTGGAGAAACCACCACAGTTCCCCAATTACGGTGATGCGTGACCAGTTACCACTGTTCTGATAATGTAAGCATGTAATGGAACAATGGTAACCACGCATTTAAATTACATATGTGAGTGAATTGGATTGCATCGGGCATACGCAGACGCTTCTTGTGATTCTTGATGAAAACGTTATTCTTCGATAATCTTCAAGACATAAATGATTCTTATTTTGAAGAGAAAATGAACTTAAATTTTTTGTAAATCAGTAGAATTTTCCGCTCCTTCACATGATTTCCTTTGCCTTTTTCTAAGGTTATCATCGTACACCTTTTGACTTGTGTTGTGGCAAAATTGCACAACAAATTCCAAAGTGGAACAGCGCCTACATTTTTCTTTTTACATTTTGTTTTCTCTTAGGGTTACTGAATGCACGTGACTCATTGTTCACTTACCACGAAGGTGAAAAACACGGAGATTTCGTGGACACTGCGTATGTGCCGATGTTCTTTGACAACCTGGAATCCCTCTTCAGTGACAAAATTCTGGAAGTGCATGCCAGAGCTGCTTGTGGTGACGTCAAGGAATGCCTATTTGATATCGCTGCAAGTGGTAGCTTAAGTTTTGGTAATTCCACGAAACAGTCTGTTGCACACTATAACGAAAGAAAAAAAGATATTAATACAGGTAAGGCTTTAAAACAAACAGTTTCGGCAATTTTCCTCCGGCTCCTTTTGCTTTCCTACAGTAGCGAAGGTGGAAGGGCTAGCTTCTGGCGAGGGTGTGTTTCGTGATCAGACATGGATCGTATAGTGGCCAGCCAGTGCGTAAGGCGTAAAAAAAATACCTGTGGTTCCGGTTTCATATCGTGAAAAAATTAGGTGTAGAGTCCCGACATCAATATTTACTAGAGGTGCGTATTTCCTATGGACGAATTGAGGCAATTTGGTTCAATAATTATTGTGACAACAGACGCCATTTTGGCACGCTGTATGAACCACCTGGAGAAAATAGGGTCGCACGGTCAATCGCGTTGAAAAAATAATAGGGTCGGCAGAAAAAAATAGGGTCGGTCGGGAACCGGAACCACAGGTATTTTTTTTACTTAAAGTAAAATGTAAGTGGAAGCGTGCAGGGCCTTTCAGCGGGGGTCAAAGGAGGCCATTTGTCCCGGGTCCCCGAATTTCTCTGATAGGCCCTGGAAGTGTGCTATTCATGTGAAGTGTGCTGAGAGCTAAGCGGACTTGCGAAAGACACAACTCAACCTGATCAGGTCGAAGGCTTTCTGGAAGGTCTCTTGCAGCCAACTTATGACTGATCACGGAGCACAAAGCTACTGTGTACGATGAAAAGGTCAGTTTTTAAGCTGGATTGCCACTCGCAAAAATTCTTCTGAATTGTGAGCGGTCAAGTAGAACTGATTTATTCTGATGGTCACAATTCAAAAGAAATTAAGCGAAATATTTCTCTGTAAGTGGAAATAAACCTTCAGCACTAACCCCCAACCCACCCTGTCAACATTCCCTGTGGGAGAAAACCTACGACTTTCGGTAGAGTCTTGACGGACTTTTTCACGCAATTATCATGCATCCAATATTCGCAGCAGGAACATCCTCGTTCCCAGGGTCTCACGGCCGCGCGCGAACATCATAGCCCCTGGGATACACGGAATCGGTCCAAAGTTTCGTTGCGAAATGTTGTAAAATGCGTTTTTCAGTCATTTTGTATTACGCACGGGATATTGATAGCCTTTTCTGTGGTGAAATTTTTACCTAGCCTTGTTGAGATCAAAATTTTGTTCATTAGGTAATAGGTCCATTGAGACACTTCAGCACCCGTAACAATTTTCACAGAGAAGTATTACGAAGAAACGAAGTATTTGTGTTGACATATTTTGATACAAAATGTTTTCGTAGCGAATATATATTGCTCAACTTCTGCGAAATAGCAGTTCTCTGAGAAGCCAGTCAGATCTTCTCCCTTTGGTCATCTGACCCAGAGCCTAATTTTCAACGAGTAACCGAGTGAAAATGGCTTTGGGGACGAGAATGCAGCACGAATCGAACTCACGTTCCCAAAGATGAAAGGCGCCATCGAAGTCCCCTAGTAAGCATTTGACTTGGTTACCTCTGAGCTAAGCCTTCTTAATTCTTAGAAACTAATGAAACGTAACCACACAAGTACATACACGAGCTTCTGCTAGAAAAAAACACGAATATTTAACAATTATACCATGAGCTCGAGTCGTATATGAGCTGATAGCCGACGAGGTGCGTAGCACCGAGTCGGCTATCAGCCATATACGACGAGAGCGAATGGTATAATTGTCTTATAATATAGTCTAATATAGCCATTAACTGAAGCAGTAATTAATTATTCACTGTTACAATGTGTTGACAATCTGTTCGGCCAAAAACCGCCTAGAAAATTTGAAATACTTTTGTTTTACAACTCGAAGACGAATGAAAGAAATGGTTTTAGTACCGGTATATCTCACAGAAAAGCTCAGATATATTAAACAGATGTTTTGTACTATAGTAAGTGCTTGTTGACTGCAAATTCATTTGTCTTTCGTTGCAAACTTTTCTGAACAATTTATATTCTCAATGAACATGTTTTTTTCGCTGTTGTTTCGGTATTAATGCTTTAAAAAACTTGTATTTAAACTAATTTCTACGTAATAAATGTATTTTGCTAACCTGTCAAATTTTTTTTGAGAGTTTTTCCTTGTACTATTATGTTTTTCAAAGCGAATATTTTCCTTTTTCTGCTTCGGGCAAAACTCATGTAGTTTTTGGACCGCCATCTTGTTTTTCGCTACTCGCCGTATATGAGCTGATATATGGCGAGTAATTCAACCAATCAGATTGCAGAACAGCTCATATACGGTGGATGACTATATTATAATAAAACTTTTTCTTCATTATTTTTAGTCCGTGTTCCTCTGTATTTCAACTGCAAAGAGGTGTTGGTCTCTGGTCCATGCAAAGCGTGTCATCACATGTGTGTTGCAAGCAGTGATCATACGGTAGCTATAGTTCTCTCTGTATTATTTGGTATTATAGCATGTAGCATCGCTGCTCTGGTCGTTTTCTACTACATATATAGAGTGCATAAAGAAGAACCGAAATCCGTGCCTAAACCGGAAGTGCCTATACCACCGGCAGAAGGGGAGAAACCATTATCTGAACCTACAGTAATGGCGTTTGTACTTCCAGAATTTCCCGAGTCTAAACGTGAGTCTGTGATGCGACAATAACACGTACCTTACCGATTAGAATACTTTGTTAGAATCCTTTAACGTTGTTACTGGATTGAAACGTAACGGACCTCTTACATTTATCAAATTGCATAAAATGATGTAAAATTTTTGGTACTTGAAAGTTTTTGAATTTCACATTACTAGTTCTGCATTTTACGGTTATTTATCGAATGTTATATAAAACATGGACTTGTCTCAATGATTATTATATATCAATGAAATTAATTATAATTTAAAAATAATATAAAGTTATTCGTCTGGAACTGCAATGGGGATATTTTAAAATAGTCGTGTTGGAAAACTAAACGGAATGAATAATCTAAATTATATAAAATAACTTTATTTAGATGTTATGTTGGACAGTTCTATCAGTTCTAAACTGTTTTCTGAGCGGTGTATCACTCCAAACAAGTATACGGCATTTTTTTGAATTTCGAAAATCCTGTGCTATTTTTATGGATTTTTTCGGGATTATTTTGGGTTCTGTAGAGATTTTTAGGGCTTTTTAGTGATAGGGATTTTTCGATGAGGTGTATATAAGATTTTTGAAGTATATACACCCCTCGCTATTCACCTAGAGATCCAGGTATTATTAGCTCAGGTGAAAGACATACGTACTGACTATTGTGGCACCCGACACACATAATAATTTACTATTAGACCAGAGTTTTCAGGATATCAAATCTTCCATTATTATATACAGTGGCGAGCACTGGAGGCAATTGCCCGCCAATAATTTCTAAAGACCTTGAAATGATAGCTGAATAACTGTGTAACAAAGGTGTATAATAATAATTTTTCAACCATGAAAGCATCGGTAGGCAAAAATTAGTTAATATTTTGCATGTAGGCAGCAAAGTTTAAAGAAATAAGATTTCCAGCTGCAAAAGGTAAGGATATGTCGGAACTTGGGAACCTAATTCCCCCCCCCCCCCCCCCCCCCCCCC